ACTGACCTTATAGCGTAAACGATTTAGACTTACCTAAATACACAATAATCAATTAGCTTTCTCGTCAGACATAAAGAATCGTTGACCTCATCAACGCATAAGATACGAGCGAATTATTTCGCCGGATAAACATCAGGATGAAAGCTTCCGGCTAGGTAAAAGACCTATTAACGAGGGAGAATATCCTTCTTGAACAGCGGTAAAGTTGGTATCAGTAGAAGTTCCCCTTAGTTAGAATCTGTAGCGGGTAGATCTATGAGATGCACCCTTTATTGTCAACTCTCTTCCCTATAGTTGGAATTCTTCAATTCTTCATTTGAGAAAAATTACCCAGCGTATAACATTAAAGCTGGCTCCAAAGCCGACTGGGGATTTGTGCCCCGGAGTCAAACGGTACTCGACGTCGAATAATGGGACGATAAAATGAACAGGATAGCTGGAAGAATTAAACGATACCAGTCGAGGACATAAGTTATAACGAGACTGAAGAGTCCATTTAGTGCCGTGAAATTATAATCCAGATTGGGATTTCTCTGTAACAGTGATGGTAGCGACGATGACGGACATAATAAGAATAGAGGCGACCCTATTTGTTGACTGAGGAGTGATCATTTTCGGAGATAAAATTGTCCTATGTGGTTCGAGGCCATACGTCGAGCGAAAATCAAGGATATCTTCTCGCGGAAGGTAGTGACGACTAGGCAGATAGTGAATCCCCAGATCATAAGAGTATGAGAGAACTGGGTTCGGCTGAGGCCTGGCTGGGCAAGTGTGGGGAGTTGTATTGTGTTTGGTGCGGTAGCAAGACGATGTTCTAGCTGGAAACTATAAACGAAGAAGCATTACTTCCTGGACTCAGACAATTCCTAGCAGTCAAGAAAGTGATGTCGCCTACAGCCTATATCACGTTCTTTTTATCGCTTTTCTCATGTTTACACCGCTAGCACACCACGGCCAGGATGTTGAGAAGAGGTGTATAAGTTAAGTTACCTTGATCTTTAGTTGATCGACTCGAGAGTGAATTATAAGGAAGTGGCTCTCTGGATTTACTTTATGAAGATTGAGGATACTACAGTGATGTAACACATGTAGTATGTTTCAAAACGGCTACTTGTCAAAATAAGGTACTGTTATACCTACCTAGGTATGTCTCTACGGTCTTAGTCCTTTTCAGAAATCTAAGATACTAAACATCAGCCATGTCGCCCCATATACGAATCATAGCCACATACATATATAGATAGAATCAGGCTATAAACACTCTGTCCAAACCTCGTTCTTTGAGTCGATGATGGTGACTACCTTTTTCCTTTATATAAACAAATATCTGAAAGGCTTCCACCAATCAGCTCGCATGGCTTAGTGGTAAAGCGCATGACTAGTAATCATGAGATCCTCGGTTCGACTCCGAGTGTGAGCATTTTTTTATATTTCTAATTCAGCCACTTACTGAATCGGTGGCTTTGAGTGTTTCTTTTTTTTGCGTGGGAAAAGATACAGACAGACACGCATTTTACTAGAATAAAAACCTTCCTGTTTAGCCTTAGACGCACTAATCTGATATTTTGTGTTGTAAACGGCGGACCTGTGAATCACTAGGGGCCGGTTATATTATATACTAATACTACTACTGTTCTATATCACCAGGTTCATCCTGGTCTATCGGCTTAACTTCTCTCCTATTCCGCTCTCGCTATTTAACTCCTATCGGTTACTAGACAAGGCGTAAAAACAACTAGAATTTATTCGCTAGAATAGGTTTAACAATTATAATATATCTTTATAAGTGAGGGTTAAAAGAGAAAAGAGGAGCTCTCTTAGATATGGATGTGCGTATGCAGCGATGTGGCGAAGCTGAGTTAACAACAATGGAAGATTGCTTATATTACTAGTGAAACCATAGGAGCCAAACCATAGGAGCCAAACCATAGGAGCCAAACCATAGGAGCAGTCGCCTATGGAGCCTCTATAACTGACAATCTAGGACATGAAATAATTACCTGCAAACTGTAGTACTGGAGTGTTTTGAGACTGGATGTGTGGCTGCCTGAGGCTATCATGTTAACCAGGACTTTGCTCCATAGACTTTTCTTCCTTCTATCATGGTCTTTATCCCGGCTTTGCCATCAATGCACTCTTGTTGCCCTTATTAGGAATATGTAGTACCACACCGGAGGATGTTCCGGACCATCTCACCTATTATCTCCCCTTCAAAAAGGTTCAAGAAGTTGGACCCAAAATGTCTGCGTTGTCGGATTATAATTGCGGCCTGTCGGCTGGGGTCTGATCCTCAATTCCCCAGAGGGTGGAGGGAAGAATGTCGATGAGCCCAATGATGATCGATAGAGTCATGATCCCCGGATGTCACCTCCACACCACGAAACACGCGAAGAAGCTTGGTAAAGCCCGATCGAGCCAGACTGTGCTGGTCACCTGGGCCAATCGGAAACACCGAGGATTCACCTACGGGGTCGATGTAATGAATTCTTGGCACTTCTCTGGAGAAGAAGTAAAGCATTTAATAGACCCTGGGGCCCCGGTTTATGCCTGATGTTTAGAATGGCGGCTCTTGTCCTTTTGGGTGCTATTCTGTTGAGAGCTCTTGAATTACTTTTGTCGGATACTTCATTACAATGAGTCACCACGAAGACCCTTTCTCCAATCAAGATCAAGCAGACGGAGACGTGGAGAAGCAATATGATAGTGACGGTGAAATCCGTTCTCCTGGGGGTACTCCTCAGGCCAGCCGTCGAAAGAAAGAAGGTGCAGATGGAGCTGTCAATGGACATGACAGAGAAGAGTTGAAAGAATGGGAGTGCTACGACAGGCTAGGGTACTCCTATCCCTGGTTCAAGAAATGGGGTATCATCTCAGTCATCTTTGCTGTCCAAACATCCATGAATTTCAATGCCAGTTTCTATGCTGCTAGCATTACCCTGTACGCGGCACACTTCAACATCTCAGAGCAGGCCGCACGTATTGGCCAGATGGGGTTTCTCGTTGCTTATGCATTTGGCTGCGAGTTTTGGGCACCCTTCAGCGAAGAGTTTGGTCGATGGCCAATAATGCAGCTCAGCTTGTTATTGGTCAATATCTGGCAGATCCCCTGCGCTCTGGCTCCCAACTTTGGCACTATTGTTATCTGCCGCATTCTCGGGGGTTTATCATCCGCCGGTGGTTCTGTAACACTCGGCATGGTAGCAGACATGTGGGAGCCAGAGGACCAACAATATGCTGTGGCCTTCATTGTGCTATCTTCCGTGGCGGGCTCGGTAGTTGCCCCCGTCGTTGGGGGCTTTGTGGCAACCTTCCTGGACTGGCATTGGAATTTCTGGATTCAGCTTATCCTTGGAGGCTTTGTGCAGATCTTACACTTCCTCATTCCAGAGACCAGATGCGGCATCCTTGTCACGAGAGAGGCCAGACGAAGACGGAAGAGCGGAAATATGGTGTGGAGTGGTGATGAGCTAAAGAAAACTCGTATGTCCTTCCGCTGGGTGTTCATGGTTTGGATACGCCCGTTTGTTATGTTCGTGCGTGAGCCTATCGTCTTGTGTCTCTCACTGCTCAGCGGCTTCAGCGATTCTCTCATCTTCACTTTCCTTCAATCGTATACGCCGGTATACAAGCAATGGAACTTCACTACAATTACAACTGGACTTGCATTCCTCCCGTGAGTATGCACGATCTTGAATTTAAGAGTGGTTCTGATTACTTGATTCTACAGACTTCTGGTGGGCTATTTCATTGCCTATTTTTCATTTATTCCATGGATTCGTAGACATTGCAGAATTCGAGAGAAAGACCCAGATGCTCTCCAGCCAGAAGCTCGGCTTTATTGGTTACTATGGCGTAAGTATTCTAAAAATTCTTCTTATTAGCCTCGTTACTGACTCGTAACAGTGGCTCCTCTGTTGACAATTGGCCTATTTGGATTCGCGTGGACTAGTCTTGGTCCACCCCAAGTCCATTGGATTGCGCCTATGATCTTCTCGGTCTTGATTGCCATTGCCAATGTAAGTGAAAAGTGAAGTAGATCCCTATTCATCGATACAAGACTGATGATGTGATCAAGTACGCCATTTACATGGCCACAATTGACTACATGATTGCCTCGTATGGTCCATATGCGGCCTCAGCCACAGGAGGAAACGGATTCGCCCGTGATTTCCTGGCCGGTATTGCGGCGATGTATTCCATGCCCAGTAAGTCACCACAATCCTACAACAGGATATGCTCTGACCAAAAAAAAAAAAAAAATCACAGTGTACACAAACATGGGTACAACACACCACCTTGAATGGGCTTCCACCTTCTTGGGATTCATGGCAATCCTTTTCACCATTCCAATATACATATTCTATTGGAAAGGTCCCAGGATTCGGGAACTATCCCCATTTGCGCAAACCTTGGCTTCCGACAGAAAGAAAGCTGGCCGGAGGGTTTCTTCCTGTGGTTCCGGTGATCCAGATCCGGTTGAAAGGTACCTCTCTGGACGTTCCTCGGAGGAGACCAGAACTAGATCTGGTTGAACTGTATCAGAACGGTGGGAAGGGAAATAAAGAGTATGCATTCATTGGCACAGGATGTAAGAATCGATTGCATTAAAAAAGTTTTTATTTGTTTTTATGGAGACATTCTTCGTGCTGATCTCTATTTCTAGACTAGAAAACTGGATTTGATTAATTTTGTTTTTGTTTTTGATATACTGTTACAATGTTACAATGGACTTGTTTTCAAGTATTTTGGAGACTGTTCGCTATCACACAGACTAGGTATACGTGATGGAAGAATACCATCATCCCATCAAGCTGTAGTCATGTCATAGCCATTACCTCGGAAATAATCCCCGGTGAACCACGAGTGGCGATATTCTCAGTATCTTATAAATATACTTTGCTCATGAGAGTGTTTGAAATTAGGTATAAGGTATATAGACATTTAGACACAGTATAGTTCATGGTCCCTCCCGATGTAGAAACAGAAATCAAAGTAAAAAGTCATTGATTCCAGGAATCCTGGAGTTTCCGAATAGCATGTTGAGTAGTCCAACCTAAATCAGCCTCAACGCCCCGTAGTAGATCAACAATAATCTGATGTTCCTCAGTATTTTCAAGACACTGTCCGACAGCGACAAGAAGCGGGACCATGAATATGCGTACTCCACCCTGGGGGGCGGCCCAGTGCAATGCCGCTGACTTCACGGGAACGGAACTCGACCTCTTTCGTAACCTCTCGGTACCCTTGTAAGCGGTCAAAGGCTGTAGATGGTGCGCTAATCACATCTGCTGGACGATTGAGCAATAATGCGATGCGCCCGAAATGGTAATGTTGCATGGCAGCAGCACAGGTTGTTAAACTGTGAAAGATTTCAGGGAATGGCAAGTAACTGCCTTCGGAAGTCTTTGATATGTCCTTGGGGCGTTCGATCCGCACAGAAGAACGGAACGTTTCGGGCACATTTTCAAACCATGTTTGAAACTCGAAAGACAGTTTGAGCCAGGTATCTGTGTCCGGATATGGCAATTGAGTGGCGTTTAATGTTGTGCCCTGAATCTCGGGTGAAGCTCCCGGTGGAGATCCTGTCCACTGCGCGAGCTGTAATTGTTTAGACCTGGCGAGAAAATTGATGACTTTCGTGACAAGCCAAATCAAGCCATTAGCAGCCTGATCTTCCCGCGATAGAGTTGACCCATTCCGGATAAGATGAAAGTCTTTTTGGTTATTAATTGAAATTCCTGCTGCCCGCCAGAGAGGCAGGTTCTCCGGGTCAAAGTGTGTAGGTGATCGGGTGAAATAAGAACCGAGATAGTCTTGGCGAGCGAAATTCCAGAAGGCAGCCTGGATGCCATGAGAAAACAGGGCGGATGTTGCCGAATGTAAACTGAGAAGAGATTCAAACAAAGGACGTATGCGAGCAAGTTGCCTGGGTCTAAGTGTTAGTAAGAAAAAAAAAACAACAACCATAAACGAGGATGTCTTACATGTGCCACTCGTCCCCGGGCATATCTAAAAGCCTATACATGGTAAGAAGCGTAGCAGTTGCCAACAGCTCCTCTGTCTTTCGAATGACCGCCACGTCGCTTGGATCTTCACTCCGGGGATTCATGTTCGCTTGAGTCTGACCAGAGCTGATCCATCGACCAACGATCTCAAAGGGGGATTCCAAAACCGCCGAGCTAGACACAGTGGTATAACCATCGGACGTAATGTTATTCAAATCTGAAGCTGCCAGGTAATAGTAATTGGCAGCTTTGAGGAACCAGTCAACTTGAGTTGCATTTGGGTAGGTTTCCGTAGTCGCAGGGCTCGTGAACATTCCACCCGTGGAAGCCTTGACTCCTTTCACACGAGCTAGGTGCTTGGCTGCTAACGCTGCAATGGCGTACTTCACGGACAGATTATTGATGGCTCGAATAGGAGCATGGACGGTGAAGAATTTCTGAGAATCGGATAAATCCAACCTAGTTACATTGTCAATACACTGCATACGCAAAGAGAAATGGCAGCTGTACGCACCATGGACCTATTATCTCAGAGTAATGTCGAGTGAGGAACGCGATCTCGTGTTCAGTTCCAGTCATGAGCTCCGAGAAGATATCTTGGAATTCGTCCTTTTCACTTCGATGCGATGAGCTCTCGGAAATGACCCTATGGTAATCGGGGTGCTTATGTGGGATTGGGTTGTAGGTGTTATCAAATGTTGGGAAACCTCCTGTGGCCGCAGTTGGTGAAATTGACTTATAGATCGTGTTTCTTGTAGATCCGCTGCCTTCCTCAGTGGCAGAGATGGAGTTTGGAATAGAGATAGCTGGGCTTTCTGCAGCATGCATGGTTGGTTGTTGGGTACTCCCCATAGCAACAACCTCTGGCCGGCTAGAATGACCAGGCATCTCTAATATCATCTGGTCATCTCGCGAGTCTAACGTCGTGGCCCCCATCTCGAAGTGAAGAGCGGGATTATCTTGTTCTTGAGGTTGATTCCATTGGAAAACCTGCTCGCTGAGTCCTACTTGTGAGCTTTTTGGCTGCGTTGAGTCTGATGGCAGCTCTGCGTGGGCCTATCATATCACAAAGCATGAGTGCCTGGGCATAATTTTGATTGGCAGTTTGACCTACTTTACTTACATTGAATGACGAGCCAGGCCTTGTATGAGGTTCTTGATATGGAGCATAGCGGCGCCTTACTGTGGCTCCTTGATCGATAAATTTGCGGGTTTGAACATACCCTGGGCATTCTACCCCTGCGGTGGTGCACCGCTGACAATGAGGGCGAGTCTCATCACACTGCCACAGGTTAGCAATAATCTGAAAAGTTATGTTAGAAAGTCGAACTAACCTTGAGATGCCTCTTTTTGCAACGCTCGCAAGCTTTATTAGATGGCACCCCAGGCATTGTGGGTTGTATCGTGATCTCCAGGGCTTAGTGCTCGGTTTTTGAGGTCATGGGGGACACTCCACTTTGCATCTTTATAATACACACAGCTACTTCACATCTCGAAAACACATCGTGCGAAGATGTAATTCGAGGGTATGAGAATGAGATCTAGAATGAATGATGCAAGATACGTGCCAAGTGCCCGCCAGGCCGGGCTCAAGAATGGATTACATAAGCGACCGGGAATTTCTCGCTCGAAACTCGGAATTTGGTCACGTTTTCCCATGTACATCCTGTCGTCATCTACTTGTCTTCTACCCAAAACCATACATCATGTTGCGGACACCGTCAGTTATCGTTGATAGTCAATGTGAATCATCTACTCCATTGATCCGGTCTATTGAAGATCATGATCAGATACGATGGGGCTCAATATCTTCAACACAGCCTGTTCTTTCAGGTCCAGAACAAATTCGCGTGTATCATGAATGGATTGGTGTGCCAGTATATCAAAACTGACCAGTGATATCTGCTAACTAATTATTGCAGATGCTGGGAAGCCTCATAATGTAGTTTGTTGGGAATGTCGTCTCCCTGACAGTCTGATTGGTTGTCAGACATGCTGTAGATCCTACCATACTGCATGTCTATTGGATGTGGTTCGCTCTGCAAATAACTTTTATTGTCCGTCTTGCCGGGCAAGAGCTTGGGATTATGCACCACCTCAGTTCTCTGTGCCGTCCCCAGCCCCAAGTACTGGTGGGACAACCCCAAACTACCATCCAGACCCGTCTGGAAATATTCCAATTCGTGGTGATAGATCACCAACGGCATCACAGCGTAAATCGTCAGCGGCCCCGCGGATGATGCCCCCTACTTTGACCCGTGTTGATGAACTCAATTCTCGCGGTACGCCAGCCGAGGTATTCTCCGTGGCAGAAACGTACCCTCAGCTTCTGGAATATCTAGCGCTACCAGATAATGAGACACAGCACCATGCCCAACCGTCACAGTTTAAGCATCAACTGGGAATGGCGATAAAAGAGATTGAATCAAACCGGGCATCAATACGAGACAGGGTGAACATCCGAGAGGACTATCCACGATTACAACGCGAGAATGCACAAGTCAAAGCATACCTTGATTCCAAGCGCCCACCCCGAGATACTGCCATTCCAAGTCCTTCGGCGGTTTCACACAACATCATCTCAAGACCGGCGTCTGAGCAAAGGGGGAAGTCCTGGGAAAGCCTTGCTCTTGACATGTTTTGACTGTTCGTGTCTGGCCGCAGAAGCAATTTTGAGTCTTGACTCATAGTTAACAGGACATTGAATTTCAATGAAGAGTTTGCAACTACAGCAAAAGAACAAACAGTGAATGTCTTGACCTTTCCATTTACCGGACACGATCACTTTCAATGGGCTCGATATTTGCCGAACATCATTTCTCGATGTTCTAGATGCACGTTGGAAATCCTGCGTTTCATCGAAAGATTTCCGACTGGTCGATCATAATGTTGATCATGTCACCGTCACCCTCTCCATATTGTTGACACAAAATAGCGCGGAGAAGGTTACATGGAATGAAGGCTTTGGCTCAGTCGCGACTCGTTGGCCCTCGGAACTGACGGATCATCCCCCTGGAGAGACAACGTTCCCCGCACCTTGGGGTAGTTGGCTTCCCCTCAACCTCAACGATCGACAGCCAGTCATGGACTAGATCATTATGAAGTTTTTTCTTGGATCCTTGTTCAAACATCTTCCTTGCGTACCTTCGTGCTTTTCGCTCCTTGACCTCTCTCGATGTGGGGAGCAAATGAGCGTGGCAGAGTGTACTCCGTATTCCCGGACCAGATATGGGAGATGTGAGACCACTTTGATCGATGGTTGATGCTACATGCACTGGTGAATCGCTGCATATTGTCATTTGGCCTAAGTCCATAAGAATACAAAGGAAGTGACTGGCAGTTTCCCCATTTTTTATCATTTCCCTCGAAAGGCAGTTCGCATGCCGATCTGGGCTGGAATGCTTTCCCCGCGACTTGTTGCCAATTTCTAAATAAGGAGCTTGAATTCCGCAGTGGAACGCGTGATTTTTACGTCTTAATTATAAATTGGACATCTACTGGAGATTATCCTTGTGTATGGTCGAGGATAGTTCCTGGATCCATTATGCCATCACAGCCTCCCTCACCCCGGATGTGGCTCCTCAGTGGCATTGTGACAGCCTTCTATGCTTCCAACGTCATAGCCATAAAGGATGCTCCAGATGATTTTGACGCCTTGAAATATGTTGATCCTTTGATTGGTACCGCGAATGGAGGTTTGTGTTGGACATGACGAGCATTTCTGTCTGCTAAGGCTGACAACTCTTACAGGCCATGTATTTGCTGGCGCGACTTTGCCATTTGGTGATTCATACCATACACCGTTTTTCATACATCAAGGCTAACAAATACAGGTATGGCCAAAGCCGTGGCGGACACAACAGGCGAGAATCAGGCTGGCTTCGCTTATGATACGAAGGTTGTGACTGGTTTCTCACACATGCATGATTCTGGAACTGGCGGCGTAAGTTTTCGCAGAATATTGGAGAGCATGCCCTGTATCTGACTGGCTCCAAAGTCCCCATCAATGGGAAATTTCCCCATCTTCGCGCAAGGAAATTGCCCGCAAGACGATATTAACCAGTGCAAATGGCAACAATCGGACAGAGCAGCTGTCTGGGACAGAGATTCGCCCGAAGCTCGCCCAGGGTATTTCAGCATTTCATTGGCGAATGGCGTTCACGCGGAAATGACAACCACAAATCGATCTGCTTTATATCGGTTCACGTTCAATGAAACCCCCGACCAGTCGCTCAGCCCAGTAGTCCTTCTGGATCTGATGGATTTACCGCAATCTCGAACAAGTGGAGGTGCCGATGTGGACCCATCGACTGGGCGTATCACGGGAAGTGGCACTTTCAGTCCGAGCTTTGGTATCGGCAGTTACAAGTCATATGTCTGCGTTGATTTCAAAGGAGCAGAGCTCCGTGAAACAGGCACCTGGGAGAAAAACCAACCAAATATCAACATGCGGACATTGACACTCGGGTCTGACGCATCATCCACTCTCTCGGCTGGTACATTTGCCAGATTCCACACCCCCAAAGATAACAGTATTCTTGCTCGTGTTGGTGTTAGCTTCATAAGTGCTCACCAGGCTTGCTCGAACGCGGAGCGAGAACAACCCGACTTTGACTTCGAGGGCACTGTTTCCGCTGCTGAATCTGCTTGGAAAAAAAAGTTGGATGTCATTTCTGTGGATGCAGATGGAGTTTCATCAGATCTGCAAACGGTATTCTGGAGTGGAGCATATCGAACATTCATCAGTCCCCAAGACTATACCGGTGAAAACCCCCTCTGGAAAAGTGACGAGCCGTATTATGACAGCTACTATTGGTGAGTGAACTCGCCGTCAAGGGATATGACTAGCATACTAATAACATGGCCCAGTATATGGGACTCTTTCCGCAGCATTCATCCACTGCTGACTCTGGTTGATCCTTTGTCCCAATCACTCATGATGCGCAGCTTAATCGACACCTACAGACACGAAGGATATCTCCCTGACTGTCGCATGTCGCTTTGTAAGGGCTTCACGCAGGGCGGGTCCAACGCAGATGTGGTTATGGCAGATGCGTATCTGAAAAAGGTTCCAGGTATCGACTGGGACACTGCATATGAAGCTGTTGTCAAGGATGCAGAGGTAGAGCCCCAAAACTGGGATGTGGAAGGCCGCGGTGGCTTGCGGAGTTGGAAAAGTCTTGGCTATATTCCTTTTGATGACTATGATCCCGATGGCGAAGGTACACACACTCGGAGTATATCGCGGACGGTGGAGTATGCCTACAACGACTTTTGCATTGCCGAGATGGCACAGGGCATGGGCCACCAGTCCGACTATGAGAAATACACGAAACGGTCTGGAAATTGGGCCCACATGTTCAAGCCCGACCAGAAGTCAAGCATCAAGGGGGTTGACACCAACTTCACCGGATTCCTACAACCTCGATATACGAACGGCACATGGGGATACCAAGACCCGATATTTTGTAGTCCTCTTTTGAACTTTACCTCATGCTACCTCAATCCTGATGGCCATGAGACCTATGAAGGTAGCGCATGGATGTATACCTTGTGGGTGCTCACTTGCGCTTTATACTTTTTATACTCTTAACTAACGCTTCACTCATATAGCTATACCCCCCACGACATGGGCGCTCTTGTCAAGACGCTTGGCGGTGCCGAATCCTTCACCTCTCGGCTAAGCTATCTCCATGACTCTGGTTTGCTCTACCTGGGAGATGAACAGGCCTTCTTACCCGTTTATCAATTCCACTACTCGGGACGACCAGGTCTCTCGGCAAAGCAGAGCCACTTCTACATTCCATCCCAATTTAACACGACAGTCAGTGGTATCGCCGGCAACGATGATAGCGGAGCCATGGGTTCATTTGTTGTTCTGAGCATGATGGGTCTGTGGCCAGTGCCCGGTCAGGACGTTTACCTGATCACTCCACCCTACTTCAAAGAAGTCAGCATTCGAAATGCCCTCACTGGAAAGCTCGCCACTATCCGCAACGTCAATTTCGATCCTAGTTACAGGTCCATCTATATCCAGAGTGCCAAGTGGAATGACAAACCATGGTCAAGGAATTGGATCAGCCATGAATTCTTCGCCGAGGGTGGTGTTCTTGAACTTGTGCTGGGACCTACGGAGAGTGAATGGGGAACCCATATTCAGGATCTGCCGCCGAGTTTGAGCGACTATCACTGAATTGTCGATTGAGGATTGAGATGCAACTGTGCTGAGAGAGTGGCAGTTCGAGATTGTCCTTAGTACCTACAAGAATAGTCCGCGGCTTATACGGCCTTTGCAAGGCTTTAATACTATGTATATTCAGGGACTACATGGTGTATATCACTAAACCTTTGCCATTGATAGATAGTATTGAATATAGACATTGGGCATCATTCTGTTCATTCGCGCATCCTTCGACTTTAACGCATAAAGTAGCCTCCTGGTTTATTAAATCACGCGGCAGCATCTAAGGTAGAGTGTACCCTCCATCAATAATGAGGTTTGCACCAGTCATATAGCTGGATGCATCTGAGGCGCAGAACACGTAGGCCTAGATCGGAATTGTCAATCAATGTCTAGAGGAATCTGGATCTGTGGAACCTTACCCCCTTCAACTCATAAGATTGGGCCATTCTCTTGGCAGGAATCAACTCGTGCCATTTGTCGTGCCATTCCTTGGGGGCGGCGTCCAGCATTTCGGTAGCGATGTATCCAGGGGAGATGCAGTTAACGCGACAGTAGTCAACCCACTCGACAGACAAGCACTTGGCAAGATGAACAACTCCGGCTTTGGACGTATTGTACTATGCAATAATGAGCGACACGGAAAAAGACCATTTTCAATAGAGCAATAGAAAACATACTGCTGCTTGCTTCTGCGGGAGATTGACCACATTCGCACTGGCGGAGGCCGTGAAGATGACATTTCCATAGCCTTGTACCTTGAATATCCGGCCGGCAGCTTGGGCAGAGTAAAAAGCACCATCAAGATTGACCTTCATGATCTCGCTCCATTGATCGGAGGTGTAGTCCTCGGCGGCGAAGCTCGAGGCAATCCCAGAGTTGACGACCATGATATCAAGTTTCCCGAAATCCTTCACGACCTGCTGCACAACCGCTTCGACCTCAGACTGGATGGACACATTGGCTTTGTACGCTGTTGCGCGTACGTTGTTAGTAGATGCAATCTCGGCTGCGATGGTACCGGCGGTATGGGATGTATGATAGATCAAGGCGACCTTTGTATAAATTGTTAGTTTGGTTGTTTTGTAGGATCGGTGAGTGTGACCTTACATTTGCACCGGCTTCAGCCAATGCTCTCGAGACTTCAAGGCCGATTCCACGAGCGCCCCCTGTGACAGGGTGTTATCCGAAACGCTTTGTAACGATTGGGATATTGGGAGATACCGTACCAGTCACGACTGCGACCTTTCCCGTGAGGTCGAAGGCCTTCATGACATGCTGATTTGGGGGTTGTGAGAGGACCATTTTGTCGTATGAATAGGCTCTGTTGTTTGCCCTCCAGATAATAATATGAGCTCAGTTAAAATAGCAACGAAGACAAGAAATGGATGTGAGCCATGTTTCCCCTCTATCCCCGCATCGGGCCATCCCCGACGTGTCTCCAGTCATTGTGACTTCATCCTGCAGCTAAAGATGACCGGACTTGGCGAAAGCGACGTAACGTTGATGATCCGGAGTCATGTCCACTAACAACCTTGAGTTTTCGGTTGTTGGTTCAATTTCCCATTGCTTTGATGTGGATGGTTGACACAGCCAGCTGATGTGGTTGAATGAGAGGCATCGAGATGTCGATTCACCTTTTTGAGTCCCTTGAACAACTGTTTGTTCTCCCGGTTGAGTTCATAAGCCCAGAGGAGGGCGAGGGGTTCGTTGGATTTTGGATTTTCCATGGTCAAAGATGGAATGGGAGAGAGAGGTGAGGAAAAGAAAGACGGAGACGAAGCCAACTGAGCAACCGCGTACTCTGACTTACTTACATATGTACATTCCCAGTAACTAACTATATATGTATACTCCCAATGTTCCCTATAAGTGGTCTAACTCTTAGAATCGGACTTTATAACATGCATAACCAGTAATTCATCTATTGATATCAAAAAATATCAAACTGGCTCATAAGAATAAAATTCAGAAACAACAAAGAAAGTGCGAGACTTTATGTACTTTGTGTATCTGGTCAAATGGTCAAATGGTCAAATAGTCAAATGGTCAAATGGTCGAATGGCAAATATGGAGACCTCAAGTATTCAAAGATGTCTGTCGCTCAGGTTTCCCCCATTATTCATTCATGGCATCGCCTTCATCCCCGGTATTGGCTTCGTAGGTCAGCTCCTCGGTCTGAACCTTGTGATCATCATCGTTGGACTTGGGCGCATGTGTTTCTTCATCACTTTTGGCGGATGCTTCCAGTTCCTCAAGCTTCTTCTTCATGCGCTTGAATCTCATCTGGGCAGCATTGTTCTTGATGCCAAAGTATCTGGCGACTGCTGGGATGTCGATCTGCGAGTTGAGTTGACCCTGTTAACACAATCCGTGAGATTCGAGCGAGATGGACCGAGAGTAAAACACAACCTGAACATTCGAGACCTTGTGGCAGGCCCACAGGAACAAGAGCTGCTTCTTCAAATCGGAGTCTTTGGGCTCCTTTGGCTTGGCTGGGCTTTTTCCAACCTTCGAGGCGGATTTGGTTGGAGCCATTTTCGCTGGAATGGACGCGTAATTCTGGGTAGTTGGATTGCAAGTGTGAGCCGTGAGTGCTTTAGATGTAAGAAGGTTGATATTTGGAGAAGGCCTTGGGAAATGACAGTGGACGGTGAACTTGAGGGAGTAGGAAAGAAGAAAAGTGAGAGAGGTCAGATGCAGGTTCTTATAGTGGCATCGCTTACAAGAAAGCCATGTCTCTCTCACCTTATATAAATAGTTATTGCAGCAAACTCATGTTTGATCCTCTTCTATTTCTATGTATACTATTCTAACAAAATTGGGGTATATGACCATGATCGAAACAAAATGTCCACGAACGCTCGACCGAGTGCAGAATCAAAAGCCCTTTGTCTTCACGGACTCGAGGTTCTTGACTGGATGTAGAAAGATGGGAGGAAGACAGAGTCGAGAGTTTTCCTTCTCCCGCTGCATACAATTAGCATCAGAACATGTTAAAGGACCGCAAGAACAAGAACTCAACTCACCTCTTTGGCGCCATCATAGCCCAACCAGGCTCTGTACAGCTTCTCTGAAAATTGAGAGTTGAACATAAAGGTTGTGTTGTATATGATATCATCATGTTGACCCCAGCTCCAGATGCTGTTGAACCCAGCGTTGACCTTGCCAGGCTCACCCGGATTGGCACGGCGGTTCAATTCCTCAGGGTCCCATTTGGCATCATGATACACCGGTTGAGGAATCTGGACTGCCTTCAAACCATAGTACAGAGCCCAGGATAAAGGGGACATCTCGGATGCGAGACCGACCCCTGATTTTACCTTATCCTTATGCAACAAACTGAGAAGTCGCGCTGAGATGCGAGACATTGCCACGACAGCTGCCCAGCGTGGAGTCTCTTGATCTTGAGGGAAGTTGAAGACACGATCACGGAAAGGCCAGTCCGTACCAACTGGGTTGAAATGGGGCAGCCAGGTGATCAGATCAGCTTCTTCACCCACACCCCAGCTCCCTGGCTCATCTTCTGGGTGTGGCACGGGGGGGCGTAATGGCTTGCCCTCCGATATCGATGCCCTCCGCGGGGCGAGGGCCCCAAACACTGCCGTTGTCATGTTTAAACATTTCCCGGTCCACCTTCTTCATGAACTCTTCCCAGGTGCCATGAACAGCAGGAATATAGAAGTGAGAGTTACGCTCCCAGAGATACTTGCGTGGCTGTTGTTTTGCGAACTCTGTTGCCTTGTGCAAAAGGTCGTACATATGGCCGGTATACCGCGAGTCCATCTCAAACTGCCAGACGTAGTCGTACTGAGGATGTAGTCGTGAGAAAATCTGCGTCGGCTGGAAATATTGTAATATCGCTCTAATATAATGTCAGCAGGGAAGATCTAGCTCTGAGGGCCGTGGACACATACACATGAACATCAATCCCAGGATACCAATCGCTTAACATATCCGCATTAAACCATACCGCCAGGTTGCGCAGCTCCTGTGGCAAATGTTTTTCGTTGAACGCCTTCCAAGCGGCATGGTCAGTCTCTTTGGGCAATTTCTCGTCCTGGCAGTCAATCAGGAGAATAAGCTCATATTCCGCACCCGAGTAGAGTGATAATTCCATCATCATAGATCGAATGTGATACAAGTCGTTCTCGGTGTATTTCATGCCGATCCAAGAGCGCAGTATAACAGCTGTCCGGGGCTGGGCCTTATCTGTGTTGTTCAAGGGGTCGTAAGGCTTTACATCTGAATCCAGTGACTTGTACAGAGCGGATATCTTCCTTTCGGACGGTTGCGTGCGATATCGAACGCTATTTCGCTGCAGACAGTCATGTTGCAAACATGCCCAGTCCACCTGTTCCCAGTCTATTTCGGAAGCCTCATTGGAGCCGAATGTACCATTCCAATTATGAAGTCGAGTGGTTTCGTTGCCCTGAAGGTAACCATATGCACCATATCGGGAATAGCGATCGGCACAGAGACTGTTATTCAAATCCCACGACTCATAAGATCCAAAAATTGGTGTTGGGAAATCTAACCTCTGATTAGTTCTCCGTCCATTCCTAGATCATTGCTCTTCGCACCTGAAGTATTCCAGCGGTACCCGCTCATCATCATATCTTCATCTTTGCGGCTCAGGAGTCGCCCTTGAGGTCCAATGCATGGCTGGTACGGTCCCTTTGACGTTGATATCCATTCCGCACTATCATAATGTGGATAGGGGTCATTGATGACTTGAGATGAAATTCGAGGTTGACCGGCGTAATCGCTCGGGAACGAGTCAACGGATTGTTCTGTAGGACTTGATACAGATCAGAATAGACCAATAAAGGGAAATGCGAAAAGGGCGATCTGCAGTTACTTTGACAGTTTCACTCGTAATGGAACTACTAGAGCTTCTCTGTAATAGGGAACAATCAAAAACACCACCAGGCATAGGGCACCAATAGCGAAACGCCTTGGAGAACCGAAAAACCTCCGCAGCACCGCGAAGAAATCCATGAGAATTTGAAATCTGTAAGATCTCAAGATTAATCTGGGAGCCTTAAAAGTTTTGTAGCTCTTGGGAATTCCCCCAAGACTAGTGGCTTGGCTTGGGTTCCTCTACATGTTGTGTTTGGCCAATGGTAGAGAGAGGATGAGAGAGAACAATGGAGACTGCCGAGTAATCCGAACAGTATGGAGTAAAGGAAAGAATATCTGGAAGAATATTAACTAAAAACATTATTCCTACAACTGTTGTAGGTATATTGTAGTCTTTTGGCCAAGATGAAGATTTTTGTAGGGTTGGTATAGGAGATCCGGATGCCCCCGGATCTGCTGTTTTGTCTTTGTTGATCTTTTGTAGCCCTACTTTCTTTTTTATATAAAGAGGATATATAAAGGATGGAAAAATCCAACAGCCAAAATATGTACTCGTCTTGATAGGGATATCGCTATGTACTTTAATAATAATAAATCAACATCGGATACAGACATAACTCCAATCAGCCCAATTCGACGGGGCATTCCAATATGATTACACCGTATCTCTTCCAGAATCCATCATGGAATTTCACACTAGTCAGTCGCAGTTCGTCGACCCCATCCACTGAAGAATCCTCCACCACCTGTGTTGTTGGGTGGTGTCCCAAGTGTCTTCGAGGTTTCGATGGGAGATTTATTCGCCAAGCTGATTCGCGACTGAGATAATCCAACAAAGGAATGGCGGTTTTCGGGATTGGCCGCCTGGGAGGACTTGATCATTTTCCGGAATGAATCCAACTTGCCCTTTACTTCTTCAAGCTCTTGCCTAGCAACCGCCTCTGCCGTCTTAGCAGTAACCAACTCCATGAGCAATGCCTCTTCGGCAGCAGGTTTGTTACTCTCCGCTGACAAAACGCTCTGGAGGCCCAGACTGCTTGTCCGTCTGTTATATGTGGGACTTTTTGTGGAGTTGGTGCGGGCTAGCTTGAACTCGCGCAGACCACTAGTGGGCGATTGACCCTCCCCAGAGTCGATCATGGAGGTGGATGTGTCTAGCGGCGTGTCAGATATAGGAGTTTTGAGGGTGCGCAGTTCCCGGTTCATGCGCTCGAGCCGCTGTCGCTCCCGATAACCGTCTTGAATCCGGCCTCGGGCTTCCCGTAATTGCTCTTTGAGGGATGAGTTCTCCTGTTCAAAATCGTCGATGCGCCGTGTGAGGTTCAAGCAACGACCGGCTTCCACCTCGTGCATTTCCTTCCATCGAGTAACGTCGTCATTGAGCTGGAGCTTGGTCTGGGTGATTGAAATACGCTTCGGTTTAACCGATTCAAAACGTGCTTGGGCTTTGGCTACTAATTCGGCCGGTTGTGACTCAGTCGGTTGTTCTCTGATTTGGTTGAGCATCTCCTTGGCCAGGGCATGGTCTTCCTCCCGTTCCTCTCTCTCCTGTTGCAGTTCACGTGTGAGGTTAGCTTGTTGACGCTGAAGATCGCTGAGGGCCAACAAGAGTTCTTCAATCTGAGTGTGAAGATCGCGGTCTTTGTGATGTGAAGACATGTTGGACTTCACGCGCGATTTTTGATTATCGACGCTAGCCCCAGCCGCTGATAATTCGGTGGCAACAGTACTTGCGTCGGACGCGGTTTCAATAGAGCTGAGAGTGGACGTCAGGCTCTGCTTAGAGGTAGAGCGACGAATGGTACTGTTCTGACGTGACGGGCCAGAATTCGGATTGAGTGACTTGACCGAATTGTGAGAGTTGGATGAGCCAGCCCATAGCCGCCCAAGGAAACCAGAGGCCGTTGCTTGCATCTGCGGAAAGGAGGGCCCGGACGGTGAGCCTTTAGATTGATTGTAGCTGGCTTCAAGGGCTTGGAGACTCTCATTTGTCACGAGAGATGTCAGAGACACGAAATCATTAACGAGATCATCAGCATTGAAGGCGTATCTGAATATCACGGGTTAGCGGAGTTCTTTGTTTCCAAGATTTGCTTTGTGAGATGTATAAAAAACTTACGTGTCCCACAAGCTTCGAGACAATAACAGTTGCATCACGTCCTCAAATTCACTGCAAGCCAAAATTCTCTTCTCGTTGCGCTGCATCAGGGAAAGTGCAACTCGCATCAATGTCTCGCATGCGCCTTCCAAAAAAATGACATCATAAATTCGAAGAAGCATCGGCAGCGGACAGGCCACCGCAAAGAATGAGAGGAACCACTGCGATACGTAGACCGGCTCAACGTGCAGTGCTTCGAGATGTTGGAACAGGACCGGCCTGTGCCGTGCTAGCAGATTTTGAAACTGATAAACATGAAGGTGAAGACCCGAAAGGTCTGGAAGATAGCAAGTTCGGAGGTTATAGTGGTCCATGAGGCTAAAATACGTGACACATTAGTACGACTTTTCCAGGTTATATCATCTTCCAAGGGGGCTTTACCGGACAAGAACACAAAAGGCCTCAGCATCTGTCATGTGCATGAGCAGAGGGCCTACCACAAATCCAAGACCTTGACAGTAGCCAATCTTGGTATCATAAAGACTGAAGCATCGCAACACTCGCCCGAGCATTTGTTGACCCTCGCCGTTCGGGTCGCGGAACATCTCAACATTGGGAAAGCTACGGCCAATATCTTTTCCAATCAGCCCATCGTACGGACTGGTTTCGCCCGAAAGTCTCTGGAATTCATTCAACAGATTAGGATCGCGTGCGCCCGCTAGGCTAGGCCACACCACCCCTCGCAATGGCGGAGGCACACCTCTTTGAATCTTATTCGAAGTCAATGTTGGCAAACGCTGGGCAGTCTGGTGGTAATCGGCGACAAGAGCGGCCCAAAACTCTAATTCAGTCATTGGAGGAGGGGGTAACTGCGAGTATCGCAGCTCTGCCCGAGCGGGATCCCTAATGAGTCGCTTGATATGGTGTAGTGACTCAGAGCGGGATTGCCGCTGATGTATCTTGCCATCGGGAACCTCGTGTATCCCAGATTTGGGGTTGGTCGCCAAAGCATTGTTTTCTTGTTCGAGTCGAGCGAGGAGCAGGGCCGTGGACTAAAATTAGGTCAGGAATGTTAGCCATTCCCCCGATTCCAGAATTCTTTGGAAGCTTGTCACACTTACTTCATCGGATCCCTCCCCACGCGGTTCTTGTTCTTCTGTCTTATCAAGGTTCTCCCAATCCACCTCATTGTCAAACATTTCGCCTGTCTGTCTCCCTCTATCCGCGCCTGGGGTTTCGGGAGTGGGGGTGGTCCTCGCCGCGTCCTGTAGTGGCACCGGTCCAAAGGACTCCTCACTCTCCTTCTCGAGATGGGTCATCTCAACTGGAGTTGGAGGGATGTTAAGAGTGCGCCAATCCGGTTGGGTGTGCTCTGAACTGGATTGGTTATCCGATAACGCGACGGTGACCATTGAATCATGGTTAGGCGCGTGACTGGCGCTGGGATACTCTGGCTCGGAACCTTCCATTGTGACGCGGTAGGTGATAAGAGTAGGCGATTGGAAGGATGTCGACGCGTTATTGACGTTGATATCGGAGGATAACAGGGGGGCTTATTTTCAGGCGGGTTTCAACTGCATAACTATGCACTTTCGAGTATTTCAAATATGTTCAAAACCAATTCCTTCCAGCAGAAGTGGGACCTGGATATGACTCTAGACTTGTATCCAGTACAAGAAGAGAAAAGGCTGGAGGGAGAAAAAAAGGGAGTCAGGAGAGATCCCACCTATTTCGTTAGCCCCCCTTTAGCTTTCCCCTCGTGGAGTCTCGGCCTCTGTCGATCATCCTCATACACCGACTGTTTGACCATTGAAATGGATATATTATGGATTAATCTTGGAAACTAATATTGTGACTACATAGGTATAATTGTATATTGTATCAAATGTAAGACAATAACATTAATTCCATGGCTGTTCAACCCAAAACTAACCTTGGAAAGTAGCATCGGAAGACCATAGTATACTCCGTACTCCGTACTAATAATATGTAATACTAGTACTATGTCTGAGATCGTGATGATCCCTATACAACATATGTAGGGAATATATGTCTTGAGTCCTGCTATTCCAACTGCATATTGCCTGCAGGTACGTACAGCCTCTCATTTTTGGCTTAATGTCAAAGGGGGCACCCTCGTTATGTAACTATACAGTTCTGTATCGTTGATACAGTCAAGTGTGGATTGGTAATCTTTTATTGTTTTTAGTGGCTAGTACTTTATCCCTAGCCAATCTTATTGGTGACATCCTCGGGCTTATATTGAAATACCATTACCACCCCCTGGCTTATCCGTTTAATCTCAATATTGAGGCTGGCCAACGTTTTTGTGTGTTCACTACGTAGTCACCCCGTACTCCGTACATCATACATGATTGACATAAAGGATTATATGGAGGCTTGGGATCTACTACATATATTCCTAGTTTCTGTATGGAGTACCCCCTGGGGCTCACACCGTCGATTGCTCGCAGAGATCCACAGAGTACATCTGATGGTCCACCTGTCAAAGCTAGGATGGTTTCCAGCCCACTTTTCAAGATTTCGAGAAAGTTCTTGGACTATTTTGTACGGAGCACTCCGTACAACATACGGAGGATAGATAGCCCAACCAGGTGCCGCTGTTTAGAGCCGTGTGACCCTCGGATTGAGGACTGTCGGGCTGTCAGGCGGTGGGGTTATTTTCCGCGATAGCTAGGTACATCATATATTTTCAGTGTGGCCTTGATGGCTATCCATGTTTACCCCAATACTTATATCCGCATATCCGCGAGAAAGCATCTCAGGACAATGGGACCCTGTGTCATAGTATGTGCTTGATTTCATTCAATGGCTATTACCACAATTGTCCATTGTCCACGGGTTATCACTGTTAATTACTATACATTGTACTCAGAGTCATACAAGGGTTACAGTGACCCCGCACACTACAAACAGTACTATAGGTGAGGATATCCCTTTCATACTTATATGTATAGCCCACTAAAGGTAGGTGGTTCATACATATCATGCATGTGTGCCATGAAGAATGTAAATTGACATATTTTGGAAACCCAGGAAGATTATAGGGGACTGCCCCACCTTCATCTCTTGTGTTAAGGGAAGAAGAAAACAGAACTCAGTCATATTTGACATTTGAGGGAATCTATGGAGGACTCCCTGCTCTGATTTCACCTGCCAAACTATACAACATAACTATTTAGATCTTCACCATTGGCGCTAAGTTCAATTGTGATATTTGAGTCAAAGAAAACAAGGAATCTGCCACCTCAAAGATATGTCATGTAGTCCAAAAAAATATAGATACCTGAGTCTATCTCAACTATGAATTGACCTGAAGATACAACAACATGCAAAGTGAGGGGAAAGGGAACTCTCTGTTTTCTCGTTTGTTTGTGAATTGCCTATTTGGGGCGTGTTTTCAGGCGGTGAGGAAAAAAATATGATCCGAGTGGCCCCAAACTGCCCACCGCCCCCCTGTCAGTCGCGACTTCCCCGGGCAAAAAAACAACAGGCGCTTCCCCTCCGCGTAGTCTCTCTCTTCTCTCTTTTCCTCTCTTTCGTTTCTTTGCTTTACCTTTTCTGGCTTGAGCATGCCGGAGCTCGATTGATCCGTTATTAACATTGAATCATAGCATCATTCGTTTGCTTCAACTTCGAGACCTGACTTCAACTCCTTCCCACCCCCCCTAATAGCGCTCCATCGTGCTTCATCGGTGTACTCACATTTATCATGGACGACTCCATGATGGAAGACTCGGTCTTCGAGGATGACGGAGGCAGCTCTGACTTTGCTCCCGAGCCTGCACCGGTATGAATTTCCCCCCAATATGACAAAATGCCCAACACGAGACTTGACTTTGGTTACTGACATTATACGTCTCCCAGAAACCCAAAGCTAAGGCGGCTCCTAAGAAAGCTGCCGCCGCCAAACCTGCCGCCAAAAAGACAACCCAGACCACTCTGAAGGCCAAGCCTGCGGCGAAGGCAGCGGCTACTAAGAAGAAGGCCAAGGCCGACAGCGAGGACGAAATGTCCGATATTCAAATGTCCGATGCTGATTCTCTGCTCTCCCATACCCCTCCCAAGGCCAAGAAAACGGCTGCACCGAAGAGAGCTGGCTCAAAGCCTCTAGCCGATGTCGAAAATGAGTCTTACGGAGGGGACGCTACCACTGATAGCGCGAGCAAGGGTGGAAATGCATCAGAGAAGTACCAGAAAGTAAGTCACGCAGCTTATAGCTTGCTTTAATCTTGGCCGGATACTTATCTCTACTCTTACATATAGCTCACCCAACTTGAACACATTATCAAACGTCCCGATACCTACATTGGATCCACCGAACGCACCACCCAGCAGATGTGGGTGTACAACTCCGGAACTGAGTCGATGGAGTACCGCGATGTCTCTTTCGTGCCCGGTCTCTACAAAATCTTTGACGAGATTGTGGTCAACGCCGCCGACAACAAGCACAACGACGCGAACATGAACGAGATGCGCATCACGATTGATCGCGAGGCCGGGGAAATCAGCGTGTGGAACAACGGACGTGGTATTCCTATTGAAATCCACTCCAAAGAGAAAATCTACGTGCCCGAACTTATCTTCGGTCATCTGCTCACCTCTTCCAACTACGACGATAGCCAACAGAAGGTGACTGGAGGTCGCAACGGTTTCGGTGCCAAACTTTGTAATGTTTTCTCGACAGAGTTCACTCTCGAAACCCAAGACTCCCGCCAAAAGAAGAAGTACAAGCAAACCTGGACTGAGAACATGACAAAGATGGGCAAGGCAAAGATCACAGATGGCAAGGGAGATGACTACACCAAGGTCACTTTCAAGCCAGACTTTGCCAAGTTCGGCATGGATGGCATTGACGATGACTTTGAATCCCTCGTCAAGCGCAGAGTCTACGACTTGGCGGGTACCGCCAATGTTGGTGTCAAATTAAACGGCACACGCGTCGCCGTTCGCAATTTCCGAAAGTACATGGAAATGTACACCAAAGCCATTCGCAAGGAGCGCGGTGACGACGGCCCTCCCTCAAAGGATGAAATTATTACGTGCAGCCCCGATCCTCGATGGGAGATTGGTTTTGCTGTTTCGGATGGTTCGTTCCAACAGGTCTCCTTTGTCAACTCGATCGCGACAACCTCGGGTGGAACACACGTCAACTACATCGCCGATCAGATCTGTACCCGCTTGGCCGACCAGGTGAAGAAGAAGAACAAGTCTGGAGCAACTCTGAAGTCGGCACAGATTCGGAACCACATCTTCATTTTCGTAAAGGCATTGATTGTCAACCCGGCCTTCACCTCCCAGACCAAGGAACAGTTGACGACCAAGGCTAGTCAGTTCGGCAGCAAGTGTCCCCTGGATGAAGATTTCTACAAGAAGGTCTTGAAGACCGAAGTTATGTCAAATATTCTGCACTTCGCGGAGCAAAAAGCCGATCAGATCTTGAAGAAGGGTGATACTGGCCGACGCACGCGTATGAACAACCCAAAGCTGGTCGACGCCAACAAAGCTGGTACCAGAGAGGGTCACCACTGCACTCTCATTTTGACTGAGGGTGAATCAGCCAAGGGATTGGCTATGGCAGGTAGAGCAGTTGTTGGACCGGACTTGTTCGGTGTTTTCCCCCTACGCGGAAAGCTTCTTAATGTTCGCGATGCTTCTTTTGACCAAATTTCAAAGAACGTGGAGATCCAAAGCATCAAGAACTTCATTGGTTTACAGCACAAGAAGGAGTACACCGAAACCAAGGGACTGCGATATGGCCATCTCATGATCATGACTGATCAGGATCATGACGGCAGTCACATCAAGGGTCTGCTCATCAATTTCCTTCAAGCGCAGTTTCCCAGTTTGCTCAAGCTTCCTGAGTTCCTCATTGAGTTCATTACTCCTATCATTAAGGTTTGGAAGGGCGACCCGAAGAACCCGACCAAGCAGAAATCGTTCTTTACCATGCCCGAACATGACGAATGGCGTGAAGCTCACAAACACGAACGCGGCTGGGAGCATAAATACTACAAGGGTCTGGGAACCAGCACCACAGAAGACGCACAGGTCTATTTCCGCGACCTCGATCGTCATCTCAAAGAATTCCACACTATGCAAGACGGCGAAGCCGGACTCATCGAGCTGGCTTTCTCTAAGAAGAAGGCAGACGAGCGTAAAGAGTGGCTCCGTCAATATAAGCCCGGCACATATCTGGATCATTCCGTGGCGAAGATCACATACACCGACTTCATCAACAAGGAGCTCATCCTGTTCAGTATGGCAGATAACCAACGTTCGATTCCTTCCGTTGTGGATGGTTTGAAGCCAGGTCAGCGCAAGGTGCTTCACACCTGTTTCCGCCGCAATCTAAAGAAGGACATGAAGGTGGTTGAGCTAGCAGGTCATGTATCCGGAATGACAGCCTACCACCACGGTGACGTCTCCCTTCAGCAGACTATCGTCGGTCTGGCCCAGACCTTTGTTGGCTCCAACAATATCAACTGCCTAGAGCCCAGTGGAAACTTTGGTAGTCGACTTCAAGGTGGCGGTGATTGTGCCAGTGCTCGTTACATCTACACTCGCCTGTCCCCCTTTGCACGCAAAGTTTTCCATACGGCCGATGAACCTCTACTAACATACAATGAGGATGATGGCAAGAAGATTGAGCCCGAGGTCTTTATGCCTGTCGTCCCGATGATTTTGATCAACGGCGCGGATGGTATCGGAACTGGTTGGAGTTCTTCTATCCCCAACTACAATCCTGAAGATGTTGTGAACAATCTCAAGCGCCTCATGGCTGGCCAGCCTACTGAGCCAATGCAGCCTTGGTTCCGTGGGTTCACCGGCGAGGTTGTGGCCGTGGGTGGAGATCGCTACAAATTCAGCGGTATCATCAGGGAATGCGGCGACAAGGAGGTCGAGATCACCGAATTGCCTATTCGATCCTGGACACAGGATTTCAAGGACAAGCTGGAGGAAATCATCAAGGCGGAGAAGGTGCCATCCTTCATCAAGGATTACAGGGACTACAACACTCACACCAAGGTCCACTTCATCATTCAACTCGACGAGAAACACATGAAGGTTGCTTTGAGTGAAGGCTTGGAAGAAAAATTCAAGCTGACCAAGTCTATTGCAACAACCAATTTGGTAGCCTTCGATCCCGAGGGCCGCATCACCAAGTACGCCACTGTCGATGACATCCTCAAGGAGTTCTATGCCGTCCGTCTCAAATATTATGAGCGACGCAAGCAGTTCCAACTTAACGACCTACAGAGAGAGTTGGAGAAGCTGAGCAACCAAGCTCGCTTCGTGCAGATGATTATCGACGGCAAATTGGTCATCTCCAAGAAGAAAAAGCCTGCTCTAATCACTGAACTAAAGGAGAAGGGCTTCAAGCCAATTGCCAAGGTGGCCGAGGCTGCCAAGATGGGCGAAGATGAGCCTGTGGTAGAAGAAGAAGAGGAGTCGGATGACGTTGAGGCTGAAGTGCTATCCAGCTCATTTGACTACCTTCTGGGCATGCCTATGTGGTCGCTGACCCAAGAGCGCGTGGAGAAGCTCCGTCGTCAGATTGGTGACAAGGAAACCGAGGTCGACGTCTTAATTAAGCTGTCCAAGGAGGACATATGGACCCACGATTTGCAGGAGTTCATCAATGAGTGGCGTTTCCAGATTGAAGATGAGGACCGTCGAGCCCGCAAGATGGCTAGCTTGGACCGCCGTAGTTCGACCAAGCTGGCCACTGGTGGTGGTCGCGCCGCGGCTTCGCGCAAGCGTAAGGCTGCTAACGGCGATGATCCGGACGACGAAGACTTCGGGGCCCCCAAGACGAAGAAGGCCGCCGCGGCCAAGAAAAAAGAGCAGCCCAAAAACAGCTTGATGAATTTCCTCAACCAAGCTCCGAGCAAACCAACACCACCGGCTGCAGCAAATGGAACTGCTGACTCGGATGATGAATTCAACATGGACATGGAGGTCCTTCCGAAGAAGAGCCGTGCTGCCTCGAAGCCTAAGACTCTGTCTAAACAAGAAGATGACTTTATCGATATCGACGATGTTCCCCAAGCCTCGCGGGCATCAACCCAGCCAGCTGATGATACGATGGACGTAGATGTGGACGAGGTGCCAAAGCCCAAACCAGCCGCCAAGGTAGCGGCCAAGCCGGTCGCTAAACGAGGACCTAAGCCCAAGGCCAAGGTCGAAGAGGACTCGGATGACGATTTCTTGGAGATTGCCAAATCCGAGGCTTCCAAGCCCACAGTGCAGTCTTCTCGTGCTCGCAAGCCTGTGAAGTACCAGGCGCCTAGCGACTCTGACAGTGATAACGGTGATGATCTTCTTGGAGACGTTAGCATGATGGTCAAGGGCATTGGTGGTGACTCGGCCACCGATTCTCGACAACTCTTTTTGGAGCGCCCCCGTTCGGAAAGCAGTGCCAGCGTGAAGACTGCCACGAAGTCTTCCAAGGTCAATGACGATTTTGATCCGGATGAGACGGACTACAGCAAGCTCATTCCTCAAAACTCCCCACGGCGCTCCATCCAGGTCAAACCTAAGGACGTCAAGCCCGACGACAACGATGGAGAGGACGACGAGGACCAACCAGTCAAGCCAACTGGTCGGGCCAAAGCTGCTCCCAAGGCCAAGGCTGCGCCAAAGGCTGCTCCCAAGGTCGTAGAGGTTGATGACGATGATAACGAAGATGACGAGCCGATCAAGCCAACTGCTCGGGGCAAAGCTGCACCCAAGGCTAAGGCTGCCTCGAAGGCCGCGACCGCCACATCGGCAACCAAGGCCCGTGGTCGCCCTAAGAAAGAGCCAGCTGCCAAGCCCGCCCCCAAGCCCGCCGCCCCCAAGCCGACTTTATCCCCGGCGGCCAAGGCCTATGCTTCTAAGCAAGCCAAGGCAAGCAAGAAGACCGCAGATGATTATTCGGAGGATGACATCGACGCAATGGCCAACGACATTTTGGATTCGCCAGCGGGAAAAGTGAATGTGGACATTTCGGACGACGATGAGCCCGTTCCCGCGCCCCGTCGCGCCGCTCCAAGCCGCCCTGCTCGTCGTGGCGCCACGCAGCAGAAGAAGTCCTATGTCATTGAGGATGACAGCGATGAAGAAGCATCGGCCGATGACTTTGACGAAGACGAAGATGAGAGCGACTAAGTAGTGGAATAGTGAGGGTCGGAAGCCCATTTTCGAAGTTTCCCTGTGTTTGCAATGCTCTCTATTGTGTTTTTATTTTCTTTCATCTCCATGTCTTAGTTTCTTGGTATTTTATGGAGATCTGGCAGAGCCAGTGCATGCAAGGCGAATACGAGATTTTCAATTTTAATCTTTTCATTCGTAGATCTCTCAGTGGCATCTACTAGTTATGCAGTTCTAGGCACTAATGCTGGTAAACAAGGTAAACATAGGACAAAGAACTCATAAAATCATAGCCTCGTTTCTTGAGTTTCCATTTCACACCTAACGCCGTCCAGTCTAGCCCATTGTCATAGAAATTATCAAAGAAAAGGTAGTTGAAAAGGTAGTTGCATTGTAGCCTTGGTCGGGCTGCTTAAATATCCTCCAGTGTCAACTAATCCATCAAGTCCCTCACTCATGTTTCATGGGAATCAAATAAAACGGACAGATAAAAGGGACAGTGACTTGAACATGCAAACCCTCAACTCCAAGTAAAGCCATCAAAATCACACAAACGTTCCACACAAAATGCATACAGACAGCACCGCCACACAAAGATTCTCAGCTCATAGACCGTAAACGCCATTCCCATGTCAAATTGTAGCGCAATCAGTCATCAAAGCGAAGCTCGACGTCGCTTACGACCACGAGATTCGTCACCATCAAGAGAGCGAGGGCCAACAGGTGAAATCGACTCGTCATCTTCCATCTCGATGTCACCTCCGGTGCTTTCAAGCTCATTCATGTGGAGACGAAGAAGAGTTTCGGCAGCCTTTACCTCACGGGTGAAGTGAGGCGACGGCTCAGGACGTGCAGCTCGGGACTTCCGACTGGGATACTTCTTAGTCGGGAATCCAGGACTTATAGAACCGTCCTTGCCAAGCGATGCTCCACCAAGAGTCCTCTTGAGACGGGGTCCACGGTAGTCTTCATCGTTAACATCGTCCATTTGCCAATCTTCGTCCGAGTCAGTTAGGTCATCGTATTCGCTTTGTGTGGCAGCCACATCCGAAGCGGTGGCGGGCTCATCGAGATCACCAGGCTTGTCGGTTTCCATATGACCATCCACAGAAGGACAATTTGGAGTGGAATACATGTTGGACGAGCCATAACTCTCAGTGTCACTATCCTCGCTGGTACCATTCGGGACATTCTCGGAGCGCATGGCATCTGAGACAGCACGGAGAATAGCGCGGGGCGACTCGACCCGCGAGCGAGGCATCACATCGGAGCTGCGTGGGGGGTTGATGGGGGTGAAGTTAGACATAGGCGACTGGCTCTTGGGCGACATACAGTAAGGCTCCATCGAGCCCCGGGCGTTGGGATTACTCTCATAGTGGGCGAACGGGATCTTGAGCGGAGGCAGTTTCAAGGACGAATCTTGTGGGCTCAATACTCCCATGCCATGGAGAAGGGTATGTGTTGAAGAAGGTGTGTTGCTTTCTGGGGGGCTGTTTCCGGCGCTGGACTTTAGCTCCAAAGAGCGATAGTAGTTGGAGGTGTTGGTGGCACGCTGCACGACCTCTGGGGGGATGACCATGCGGCCATGGAATTTGCGGTCCGTTGGAGGGATACACATGGCTGGGAATTCGGTGCCAAACAGTGGAGTTAGGGCGTATCGGATTCTCCAGCAGAAGGTCGCTGCCATAGCTCTGGCGGCTTCGTAGGGCATCCAGTATCCTATGGGAAAAGCAAAAGGTATCAGATATAGCTATCCAAGGAATCGGTTGGTATGAGAAGAAGGTGTAAAGATCAGATATTTACCTTGAGCGGAAAGTGCTCCGCCGGTGATGCTGTGGCAGATATCGCGGAGGCCTGGGTTCTGGTTTAGCATCTTGGCTGGGGTGGTCTATAACGAGTTAGAAATCCAGAATATATGGAAAGAGCTGGCTTATGAACTTACCTTGGAGTATCCATTGCATTTGAAAAGGTGTGTAATCCGAACGATGCCGATATTGTAGTCCCACATAACATGCCATTCCTTTTCTTCGCCAGGTATTTGGAATGTGTACTGAAAGACTAAATGGAAGAAGAGTCAGACGTGAATATCAAAACATATTCAGCGGCAAATACCATGGAAACTGTCTCGGCCGGTCTTTTCTTGGAAGGTTTTCTTGTCGCTGGCATAAGGAATATGACGAGGATAGTCGGCGATGCAGCCCATGGGACGCAACGACAGCTCTCTATGAGCCTTCTCCAGATCTGCATCTCTTTCCTCACAAGGAGGATAGCGACACTCGCCCTGGATCTTGCCACGACGGAAGATTGGGGCGTCCTTGGCCATCTTCTGCCGCTTCTCACGGTTGGCAGGAAACGAAGGATATGGAATTCGCCTTTCAGGCTGAGGATTCAGCAGGGAGTTGATAGATAGCATTAAGAAGTTCAAGTGCTATCCTTGAAAGAAGGAAGAAAAAAATGTTGAAGAAGTACGAAGGAAGTCTCCGGGGGAAAAGAAGGAGCTTAATGCCTCCTGGAACAAAAGGTGTTTTCCAGAAGGATTGAGAGACAGAGTAAGTCAAACCTGCAAGAAGGAAACAAAGTAAAGCGAGACAATCCAAGACCTTTGTTCGAAGGTTTATTCCGCACAACTTCCTAGATGTTAGTACATGTACAGGAGTTGTTTGTTGGCAAATACGGACAACTTTCGAGGAGACAAGAGACAGAGAAGACAGCGGTGAATAGAAGAACTCGGAGAGTGTCTGACACGAGGGGATGTGAATGGGCTTCACCGGTTCTTTACCTCTCTCTCTATCTCTCTACCTTTCTACCTCTCTCTCTCTCTCTCTCTCTTCATCTCCCCCATATCACAAGGGTCCTTGAGGTTGGACGAGTCCACGGGCTGTTTGTCTCTTCCGCGTGGAAGTGAAAGCTCTAATGATCTTCGACTTTGGACTGATGATGCAGTGTGCATTGATTTCCATCGATGCCCCTGGAAGCAATTACAAAACAGAAGAATACAAGAATACAAGAACACAAGAATACAGAATACAGAACACAGATGGTTTGAGACCTGTGTCTCTCCTCTCTCGAGGCATAACCTGATTCACATTCACAACTGCGACTACCCAAGCCTCTCTCCCCGAAAGAGATCAATGAAAGAAACGCATGGCAACAACCGTTTCAGGAACCATGTGGATATCCTGGATTTCATTTGGAAACGCAGAGAGTCACCGCTGCATGCAAACAGCCCGTAGCGGCAATAGGTGCGTACAACTAACTACTATATTAATATCTAGCTCTGCTATCAATGCTCTAATATCCTGGGATAGAGTCCTCAACCGTTGTCCCACCTTCTCAAGGCTCTTTTCTTCAACATCTTATCGAAGAGCCCATGTCAGATCGTCCTTGGCATCAGACTAGAACCAGAGTACCGCAGCAAACGGAGCATTAGGACACCAGTTTAATGGTCCAATAAGAGACTACGAGACTACATACCCCATGGTGGCTCAACAGGATGAGCTTCAAAGAGGTCTCAGACCCACGGCAAGCTGCAGAGAAACTTACTCCTTGTATGACGGGAAGCTGCATTGCCTGGCGAGTCCGTGAATTGCATCTGAGAAAAAGCTGTGCTGCAAAGATAAACTTCTGACATCAAAGATTTTGGGAAAAAAGGTGACAGGGATCTTCACTTGGGTGCCACGCTTCCATGCCTATACAGTGTACCCTGTACAAGTCTATACATTTGATAGATGGGGTAAGGCTGAGAATGATATGGTCAAACAAATGGCGATCTTGATCTTGTTACAAAGTCTGGAGTAGTTCTTCACTATCTATTGCATGCAGGTTTATACCGCACTTCTTCTTATTCTTTTCCTTTCTTGTTTGAATATCCAATCTGAGACCCTCCTCACTCCCAACTCGACCGCTGGTTAAAGTCCAAGAGCGTGTGTATAACAGAGACATGGGCTCTCCAGAAGCGTAAGAGACATAATAACGACTTCAAAGAACTTTCCATGCATCCTTCTATGCAGTAGTCCGACAAGTTGGTGGCTGTTGAAGCCCACTTTTCCTGTCTTTATCTTTTGTTTTTCTCTGCTTGAACTTGACTTAGACCATAAGTGTCACACTGACTTCTCCCAGTCCATTTCGCAACCCACTATTGTACAAACCTGCCAGTCTAATGTAGTCTGCATAAGACTTCCAACAGGTACAAGAGGTCCTTCCACCAATCGGTGCCGGGCTGGGGCAGCATAACAGAGCACCGCAGAAAACGGTGCATACAGATGCCGGCAGAACGCTATGCAATCTGGTCAGAGACTGGAAAGGTCGAGGACTGAGGTATCAACTAGGTGTCAACACAACCGGGCTAGTTTTCGAGGAGAGGGAGGGGGGTCTTAATTGCATTGGAGTCGGTCTGCAAAGAGTGCCAACAGCCGAGACCGATATAAGAGACCAGAAACGAAGACTGGTTTCCAATGTCTTAGACACTCTAGTGTTGGCTAAACATTCTCTATTAAGCCCCAAAGAGCGGTAAACCTGGACATGCGTGTTCCCCGTCTGCGACGCGTCTCGGATCCCGGGCTTCTGGAAAAGGGGACAAGAAGCCATGTCTCAATTGGGATGCTGCTGTTGGTGGTTAGGCCTTTTTCGAGCTATTTTTCCCTCCCTATTCATTTCCATGATGTATAATCGAGCCTCTTAGTAAGATTGACTCTTTCAGGTTACCCTTCAAGGAGTTTTCGTCTTTTTTCACATGTTTATCAAGAAGTTGGCATACTCATCGTTCAGATCAGAGCTGAATGGCCTTGAAGATGTTGTGGTATCATGACAGGAAGGTCTCGATCTCAACAGCGGACAAGGAATACAGAATACACGGACCGTTTATACTCACATGAGCCTGCAAGACTCGATACTAAATCCAAGTTTCAACTAGACGAAAGGCTGACATCTATCACAAAAAGGTCTAGATCTCGACCCGTTGAACACAGAATACAAATCGGACCCGAATCCCCCACCTGATTCAACAGGATAACAGGATTGAGATTCACAAAATATACCCCTCACCCACAGATATCCCACAACACTGATCTGTACCACAGCCCTCGAATCCGGGGTATACGGGGTGTGAGAGGTGAAGGGGGAAACACAGTTCCGAGCACGACTGAACAAGGCAACTCTTCGAGGGAGAGGGGAAGTACAATGAAAAGGGAAAACAAAACCGGCACAGACTGGCCCGAATCGCGATGCGGCGAATAGGGAGCCGAGTCGGTGGACCGGGATGAAACTCAACGGCTGCCTTGCACTGTTGGGTGATCAAGGCCACTTGCATGGAATTTGAGCAACTACCCAAGTGGGTTGGATCGAGGCTTTTTGTGCATTGGGATGGAAGTTATGACGCATGGAGGTGGCAGGATGTGGACTGGAGCTAGTTTCCTGGTGAGTGGTGAGTAGTGAGTAGTACGTATACAATAGATAGTGGTCGAGGTCCCTGCGCGAGGGCTCGAGGACGGGCACACGGCAGGGATACCTTGGGAATGTATGAAAAGCCAAGTTAAGATCATGAATTTATGTAAATGTGATTCCATTAGAAACAATATGAAGCCGAGAAAGACATAGACAAAGGGTGTTTGGTGAAAAAGAAGTCGACTGATAAAAATGTCCAGGGTGTTAAGAAGGTGAGATAAAATAACGACAAAGGGGAAAACAAGAGACATGACGGCTCATTCATCGCTCAAGAATTCTCCTTGATTTTTTGTTCGTCGACACGAGGATTTGGCGATCAGAGCTCATATATTCCCGAGGGATCCCCAACAAGAAAAGGTGACTCAAAAACCGATCTCACGTACCATTCGGCATATCCGGCAATAGCCATGGCCAAAATAATGATATCCGTTCAAGAATTTGAATTTTTGATTGACGCTCAAATTTGAGCCCAATTAATATTCCCGGTTAAGATGACCTAGTATCATTTGGGACTTATTCAAATAGCCAGAAGAGGCTCGCGGTCATCAGCCTGCTCGACCGGCTCCACTGACGCAACAATGTCAGACTCGAGAGCCTGAGCGACAGGAGCGGCCGTGGGGGCTTCGGGGAAGTCCTCGTGCTTGACGGCGGGCTCGGCAACAGGGGCTGTGAACTCGGCAGTGGGCTCGGTCTTGGCGGACTCGACAACGGTCTCACGCTTGATCGGGCTCACAAGCTTGGTCGCCTCTGGGGAGGTAGAGCGGCGGGAGCCGATGTAACCCTGAGCTTTGGAGCTGTACTCGCCGACATACTGCTTCATCAAGCCGGTGGCGTGCGAGGTACGCTCGCCAGCCATATCCCGAAGCTGGTTGGTCTGGGAGTTGATGATCTCCTGGGCGTTGGCAATCTGCTCGTCAATGATCTCGCGGTTGCTGATGTAGATAAGGGGGGCAAAGTATGTGGTGGTCACGGCAATCACAGCCAAGCCCCAGAAAGGAAGGAAGCGGATCAGCCAGTAGCCGGTGAAAGCAGCAGCGAAAGCCTGACAAGCCGTTAGTCTCTGCCTTTTTGGTTCGTCTTTGTCCTTGAACTGTTGCAACCTACCGAAATGGTGTGGAGGACATTCTCAGCGAACAAGATGCGCTGGAATTCGATCAGGAAGAAGTCCACAAGCTGCTCAAGGTCCTCGAGAACAGCCTCAACGGTCTCCTTGGGGACAGTGTAGTAACGACGGGGGCGGAATCCACTGGCGATTCCCCGCTTGAGAATAACATGGCCAGCAACTTCGACGGTGGCAGTCACTATACACAATTGTTAACCGACCACTCTGTTGACCGTAGGTCACGCGACCAACTCACATCCCAACGACATGTACAGGAACTTGAAGGCCCAGCGGAGGAGAGGCAGATAACGGGCGGCGAAGATGAAACAAATCACGCTGGCGTAGGAAACGGCGGTCGCACGGGGTTGTTCCCACTAAACACACACAGAGAGATTAACAAGCTATCCAAATTGAAGACTCGGGCGACAACTCACGCTCAGAAGGCTATACATCAAAGAGTGGTAGGCTAGACACTCGTTAATATCCCGCTATATCCAACCAATCCAGTTCTCACGACATACGAGTCAATGGTTGACCATCGGCAGTGGTGGTTGAGGGGGTCACACGCGAGTTTTTCAGATCGTGAAGCTCATCGCCGGTGCGGGATGCTTCGGACTTCACATTATCGACAATTGGGCCTGTCAAGAAACTGGTCAGCATACTTTGGGTGGCTTCGGGGACTTCCGGATTCCTATTTACCCTTGGTAATAACATCGCTGATGTCTGAGCGTAGGAGGGGTTAAGGTCAGTCTCCTATGGCCACGGAATCTAGGAAAAAGAAAAGAGCATAATACTGCAGGATGATTGGGTTAGCATATTTTTTCATTCTGTTGAATTGATGTGCCCTGATGATTTTCTGATTTTCTTACCTTACTGCCCGTGTTAGGGTAGGTCACGTCACCAGAAGCCATAACGGTGATATTTGTGAGGAGCACTTCAGGGGAAATTTTTAGGAGAAATGAAGGAGAAATTAGAAAATTCGTAAGAAGCGTATCAACTGAGTCAAGACGTGAACTGAAAAGAAATTAAAGGGGGGTGAAGGGGAGGGAGGAAGGAAAGAAAAAGAAGGAGAGCACCGAAAAAAGATAAGGGAAGATTTGACCCAAGGCCAAGGTTGTTGTGATGCTGTCATGTGCGTTGCCAAGCCCGAACAGCTATGGATTGGAGTGTCTTATATCTCGAATGAATGACGAATCTACTTTTTAAATCTGGATTTGATCTTGATTTGGTCTTGATTTGGTCTTAATTTGATCTGGAAATAACTTATATTAGGAGTTGATCAACTGGAAATACTAAATACTACAAGTACAGCATCTAGTAACTAACTAGTTATTATACGGCTATCCAAAGACCATTATGTTGTAGCCTTGAACTAGTTATGTACTTTTGTTATCACCTATTAATTATAGTGTTCATCCACGCGAAGCTATATATACGTATGTACTCCGTACAATGTCCACCGATGTGTAATATGGAGAGAGAAGATATCTAAACTACATATGGGGGCACCTGATCAGTCAACAGGTGAATTTTTCTAGCTTTTAGAGTCATAAAGCTTTGTGTGCTACTAACGGAACGTGGTGCACACGGCATAGAGTGTAGTTCACTAGCCTTAACAAAGGGACAGGCACACTAGTATACAAGATCTCCTAAAGTCCCATTATTTAAACAGCGTTATGTATATATCACTTTAGTGATAGTAGTATAGGTATAAAAGCTATAACATTCGGGAATCTCAACAAGAAGGTAGAGAACCTCGATATTTCTACAATACAAATTAAGGTAGAACGACAATCAGACAATCCAGTTGTGCATCAAAATCCAAAGGCTTTGTGTACTAAATGTATTTCCCTGGTTTAAGGACTTCGCCCGCAACCTGCACATTTCCAGATAGAGGGAAGAATAAATCACGTTATGCGTCGGGCCATTAGGTGTTATTATCCAAGCACTACTAAGCTGCATATTGTCGATTCCAAGAGAAAACGGTACGCGCTAGTATACGAAAGGGTCCAATAGTAGGTTCATAACATTCTTGTATACCTAACTAGGTAGGTATATATTGAGTGGATGTAGTCTAGAGTTTCTCCAAGGTAGGGCAAGGAGTAATTTGAAACCAATCACACATTGGCTCCTCTGATCCATTGATTGTTAACTCCCCCATTTTGGTGTGTCGCCCGCAATGTACAGAGTACTATGTAAGAGATCCGAAATTGATGTGCTTTAAATTGCGCTAATTAGTAGTCTTAGACCTATATTCCCTCAATACAACTCTCTTAGCCAAATTTCCCTTAAAGGTTCTCACTCGATCACACAGCCTTTCCCAAGCAGTCATCAGTCAGCAAGTGGTTGTTGTAACTAGTTAGTTATGTGAGTCCCATTTTTAATCTTGAGAGTCCTATCTTTCAGCCTCGAGCCGACTATCTCGGTTCCATATTAAGTACAAATCTCTCTAAACCATTATTAATGATGGTTAGCATAACTTCCAATTCGCGGATTTTTGCCATGGAATAATCGCTTTCTTTTACGTCGCTACGGATGGACCACATCTTGTGTCTATGTATCCTCGGCGCTATGATAAAAGACAGCTTATATAGGGAATGATGTGCTTAGTAGCCAAACATAAAGGATTGGAGGGGGTTAATAAATAGTAGAAACACTTTGTCATCGAGCTATTATGTTCGAGCATGGGATACAATGTGAAAACTAGCCCCCAACATTGTTTTGTCTTGATGAAGGAATATTTGGGTTATCTTTCCAATGTTGGTCAACAACTCCAAATCGAAAAGTCAGAGAGGAGCGCACGATAAGAGCAGGGATGTATGTCTTAAGGGTTACATCAAGCCATTACGTCCTTTTATTGGCCTGTCTTCTCTCTATCTTTGCTGAAACTAGTCCCGATTACCTGTCCTAGGAATATAATCCCTGTCGACATTAAGTCCGAATACATTTAAGAAGGCCCGACGGCCCCCCGAATTCCCCGGGGTTTAGGCCATCTTTTCTCTTCTAGTCTACAGTCTCTGCATCCACGTGGAAATTCTCGTCAACTAAATCGAACGTGTCCTTTCCACCGAACAATCTACATTCAAAAATGTCGGGACCTATGTCAGGTGTGCATGGCTCTGCGGATATCACCGCAGAGCTTAACCTACAGCCACGGTTGGTGATAGCTCCCCAAGCTCGTATTGAGGGCGATAATATTGATGCCTGTGCCTATCTTTCTTTGCCGAAAACAGAACAGGATTCAGGTCTTTCTTCTGAGCTCCAAGACCATGCGGTTCTCCATGCCAATCATAGTATACCTACCCCTTCCGATAGCGATGATGGTCGCGTGGCCACCGAAGACGAAGTGCGTGATCTCCTTCATGTCGTTGATAGAGTTCCAGTTCGGCTCTGGGTAGCATGCCTCGCGGGTATTCTGGAACGCTTTGTCTGGTACGGGGCAACCGCTCCTATACGTGCGTGGTTACCTCCCCATTTACAACATTGTTCGACTGACTGTAAATACAGAGAATTACCTGCAAAATGCACCTGGTGGTGTGGTTCCGGGAGCACTGGGCTTGCATCAGGCTACTGCATCTAACATCGTCAATGCGGTAATCATCGGGTCGTATATCGTGCCCGTACCTGCTGCCATTGTTACCGATAGCTGGTTGGGTCGCTACAAGACCATGATATACGCTGCTAGGTACTATGAAGTTATATTTCTTTATATTTACCCTACCCTGCCTGTTTTTGTTTGATGGGCTAACGATATAGCAGCATTGAGGCCATCGGGGCAACTGTTCTTTTTGCGACATCCCTGCCCTTCGCGATTCATGAGGGGGCGGCTTTGGCCGGAGTGATAACTGCCTGTATACTGCTGGCCATTGGATCAGGGGCATTCAAGACTGCGATAGTACCATTTATTGGTGAGTCGATTTCTTAGACTTGAATGTACCAGTCTGACGCGGATACTGTTTAGCCGACCAATATGACGAGACCGAGTTTCGAATCAAGACTCAGAAAGGGGGAAAGAGAGTTGTCACCAGCCGAGAGTTGACCATCACTTATATCTACAACGTCTTTTACTGGTGAGTAGATTGACCTCTTTCTTTTGGCATCACAATTAACGTTAAAAACAGGGCTATTAACGTGGTGTGTTTCGTGGCCGATTCCACACCGTTGTTGGAACGATATGTTGGTTTTTGGCTCGCTTACTTGGTCCCATGCTGCGCCATGTGGTTAGTCCTGATCCCGATACTACTCGGCCACAAGCACTTTGGTGAGTGCACACTTACTAGCACAGCAATGAATTGATTAACTAACATGTGGATAAACCAGTCCGGCATTCGCCCACAAGCAACATTATGCCCCAGATATGCGCTGCTTTACGGTATGGGATCACCGGTGGCTTCAAAATGGATGCCGCAAAGCCAGACGCCCAGCTTTATCAACACGGCCGACAGGTCCCCTGGGCAGACTCATTTATTGAAGAAATTAAGAGGAGTCTCCTGACCTGCCGAGTATTGTATGTTAATATCCTTTCTAGTATACCGCCAAAGCTAACATATACCTAGGATTCTGTTCCCTATTCACTGGCTCTGCTATAACCAGATATTCAGCAACTTGATCTCTCAAGCTGGGCAGATGGTCACGTACGGTATCCCGAATGACATGATGAAGATTGCTGGGCCAATCTCGGGAATCATCATTGCGCCCATCGTTCAAAAGGGGCTTTATCCTTACGTTACAAAGCGACGAATCTCATTTGGACCGATTGCACGGATGACAGCCGGATTCATCTTCCTGACTCTCTCCATGGTTTACACCACAGTGATTCAGAAGCTCATCTACCAGGCCGGGCCATGCTACGATACACCACTTTCATGTCCTGCTTCCAATGGTGGCACTATCCCCAACCAGGTTTCCGTCTTTCTCCAAGTTCCGACCTACTTTGGTGGAGGATTGGCAGAGGTGTTTTGCCTTACCACGGGAACCGAGTATGCTTATAACCACGCGCCTAAGAGTATGAAGACCCTGGTTCAAGCAATTTGGCTCGCTATGGCTGGGGTCGGGACCTGTCTTGCCCTGGCCTTCACTCCGCTCACCAAGGACCCCCATCTGGTCACGATGTATGCTATTCTGACGGGGCTTTTGGGTGGAGCGACCATTCTGCTGTGGATTCTTTTCCGAAGCTTGGACAAGTCGAAAATTAAGGAGGATGCCGAGTAAGGGAAGCCGTTACTTTGGTATATATCAGAATCCGTTGTGTCACTGGTGGACATTATCAAGGGGAAGGGCATTCTGAAATGGACTGCGCGTTATGTGGAGGAACCGAGGGACTTTCGGGTATTGCAATGATAAATTGGCTTTTAAATAACTAGAGTAAATGTCTTCAGTGCTTGAAACGCATTTAAAATCCAAGCAATTCGAACAAAATAACGCATGTGCATCATCGTATTAATTCACATTTCTCTTCTATGCATGGCTAGGTGGTTAGGAAGGGCATATATTATTCTGCCCAGGTGTATGCAAGTATATTAATCTATCTTATTTCGGTATTAGGCATAAATCCCGATTCCCTAACATACTTCTGATGATATGGCGAGCGACGCAAAGACGAAGTGGACTACATTGCGGGCGAAATGGCCGACCAATGGCGATTCCAGCGAGCCGATGGCACCAACATGCTCTCAGCCAAGGCTGATACCTCCGTATTTAGATGGGCGGGGAGTTCCATGCTTGGCGGACGGCGCTGGATAAGTGATGAGGTGGCACCTGGTCAACTTCAGTCCTATTATGCAACTGTAATGTGGCGGCCTTGGCAGGAGGCCTTGGATGATCGCCAGCGTTTGTATCTACGAAGACGTATAGGGGTCAGGCGTCAAAACCCAATCTTGGGGGGGGATGTTGATGCCTTAATGCCTGGATTACCACCGCTTCATACACCGCTCTATACAGTGTACTGTAAATTGTTAATACATCAACCTGCCTAAATGAAGCTTTTTGACACCATAAACATAAGGCATCCACGGATTTCTGGGTGGTTCAAGTCCGAAAAATGAAGCTTTTGACCTCCATACAAATCAATTAAACCGGCCAAAAATATGGAGATGTCTGATTTGTATGGAGGTCAAAAGCTTCATTTTTCGGACTTGCAACCACCCAGAAAATGGAGATGCATTGATTTGTATGGAGGGCAAAAGCTTCATATACCCTACCTCACAACGCTGTACGTTGATTATTAAGGCACGTGTAATAGTAATTCATGTATTTATTCTTTTCTGCCGTTCTAAAATAAGGCATTAAGGCACCAAGGTCCTCTAAAACTGGGTTTTGACGCCTGACCCCTATGCGTCTTCGTACGCCAGCGTTTGTATCCCCCCTCTCCGAGTCAATTGGAGCCGCCCATTGCCTCGGAATTTGGGTTGGATCTATATCAAATGATCATATTTGGAAGGGGCTGGGATATCCATGACCGTTCCTGCTAAGCAAGTGGTTACTGAATGCGTTGCTAATGGGTAGTAATTTTATAGTAGTGCTGGGTCTGACTATAACTTCGACGAGGACTCTGAAGAGGGCTCCGAAGAGAGTGAAGATCCCCAAGCGGCATGATGTGTTTGATTGAGATTTTTTTTTAAAAAAAAATATCGAAATTGAAGTTACAGTGTTAAAAACGAAGACATGAAGTTGCCTTAACAAAACAAAGGGTCACGTGACCCACGCGTTGCTATCGACCCGATTAGGTCTGTTTTGATTCTCGACATCTCCATTCCCCGACAACTCAGCGCGACCCACAACCCACAATCTCCATGATTGTACATTTACAATTTACAACTCTCTCCATACGCTGTTAATTCCTAGTTCTATTTCCTCAATTTTCACCAACGGCGCATTGTCTAGATCATGGCGGCAAGCGCGAGGGCGCAGAAGCCCGTCGGCTCAGCGCCATGGATTGCAGCAGAGAAGGAAAACATGGCCGAGCTAGTGGAACAAGAAATGGAAGAAGTGGAATACCCTGTCCGACACGAAATGGACTGGTTAAATGAACATATGACCGAAATCTTCTCCAAGGGCCAGGCGTGAGTTGCGACCGCACACTATGAATTATGTCTTGTTCGGTTCTAACAATCACACAGGAACTTCGCGGACGTGTTTAAGACGCCCGGAAAGATGAGAGGCAAGACGCCTCGAACCGCTCGGAAGCGTGTCCCCGACGAGTCTCGAGTGGTGAGTATTCTCCATATCGAATTGGTTTCAACAGTTCTCGTCTAATGCCCCTTGCAGCCTTTGAGCGAAATCTTCTCATCTGCCCAGAAACAGTTGGAAAACCAAGCAAGCCCGAGCCCGTTCATTCATCGTGTTGTTTCTAAGCCCGCTCCCGTGGCGGCATCGCCTGTGCCCCGCACCAAGATCGCGACAGAGCAGGCTTCGCAACCTGAATACCCCGATCTCACCCAAAATCTGAACTCCTTCCCAACATATAATACCGACTCTGGCTATCATGGCATGCCCGATGATGATGAAATGGTACTTCCTGACGTGCAACAAGAATCACAGGCTTCAACTCAGCCTTCTACCCAACCTTTCGAACGGGACGAGCCCATGAAGCTGGATACTCAAGAGGTCGACATTTCCGCTAGTCAGCAAACGAATGAAGAATCCTTCCATTCTGCGCGGGAAGAGATCCGCTCCCGCGGAGAGACCGTTGAGCCGAACAAGGACCCAACCCCAACCCAGGAGCGAACAGCACGTCCGGCCGCATTGGTTCCCGAAGAATCTGAACCCGAAATCATGTCGACTCCGACTAAGAAAACAAAATCAAAGCCAGATGTCAAAATTTCGGGAAAGCGAGATAATGAGGAACCTGAACCAAAAGAGAGTGATCCGGTTGTCTCCCAACCTGAGCCGTCTCCAGAAAAGGCCCCGGCAGCCCCAGTATCCCCGGCAGCCCCAGTATCCCCGGCAGCCCCAGTATCCCCGGCAGCCCCACCTATCGAGACACAAGAATCTCACCTAAATAACGAGAATATGGAAGATATCACGAAAGACGACACAATTCTCGACAATCTCGATGATATCGGATCTCCTTCGGATGGTTCTACTCCAGAGCGACCATTCGCTCGCAAAAGCAGCCTGAGCTTTGCTACCCTTCCTGCGCGGGAACCTTTGAAGTCTCGAACAAGTCATATTGACCTAGCTAAAATGAGTACTGCTGGGCGTCCCAGTTACTTTGGCAGACAGACTGGCGGCCATAGAATTCCGCAAGCTGCGGCAGACGATAATGCCGGTTCCCGAGCGTTGGAAATTGACAACGACAAAGAGCCAAGTGAAGAAGCGGATCCTGACCAGGCTACCAGGATGCACAGCAAAAAGTCTACACAGTCACTACATGATAGAATCAGCATGCTAGGCAAACTCCAGCCATCCCGACCCAGAAAGTCAATCCCGTCCGCTTCTGGGCTACCGGTTGGTCAGGTTCCCTACCCAGACCTTCCGGCTTCCAAGGTTGAAGCAAAGTCCGATGCTTCCAGCGAAAGGGCACATGAGGCCCCAGCTCCAGAGCCCATGTCGGTGGACGATGACTGGATCAAGCCTCTGAGCTCTCCCCTAAAACCAGAGCTTTCCAAGAGCAAGACCACGGATGTCATGGAGAAGCTTGCTGAATTCGAAAAGACTCAAGCAGTCAGTAAAAAAGATGCATTGCAAACAGAGCCCGAACGTCCCAAATCATCTACCTCGGTGTTCTCTTCACCTCGACCGCACAGTCACCAACAAAGCGCGTCTTTGTCTCATGGTGGTGCTGATGCTTCTACTACTCCAACCGGCTCGCCAAGACGCTTCGACGGTCATATCAGTGCTTCGAAGCTAAAACTACACTCCATTATGAAATCCGCCAAAGGCCTATTCTCAAGCACTGGCAACACACCACGGATGGAACACTCGCCTGAGCAGGCACGCATTCAGCCAAGTACTGACACATTAACTAAACATGCCAAGCATCTATCCCAGCCAGTCCCTATCACCAGTCCTCAACGTCCAGAAGGCCGCCGGACACGGAGCTCAACAGAGAAAGAAGAGAGAAGGCGCCAGCATGAACGGGAAGAGCAGGAGCGTGAGGATCAAGAAGAAGAAGAACGTGTTGAGAAAGCTCGGGAACAAGAAAAGCAAAGAGTCCTCCAGCTGAAAGCCGCTCAGGATAATTCCTCGGTCGAGCCAGAAGAGAGGGCAGGCTCAGCGGTACACAAGACCTCCCAGTCACAGCGCCAACAATCGCGCGAACCTGAATCAGCTCAGGAGTCTACCTCGAGATTTGCCATCCCTCAACCGAAGCAAAATGACCGCCGTCCTCTCAAACCCACTCGCGAGCCCATGAAACGCCCCACGCCGCAACCCATGTCAATTCGTGTTGGCAGCACAATGTCCCGTCAACAAATCCCCGTTCCATCGTCTTCGGGTGCTCAGGAGTCGGCTGTGGCCGCAGCCCCCCCTGCCCCTGCCTCAAAGCCAACTTTGAAAAAGAAGGGTAGCAATACATCCTTACATACATCATCTTCTGCAAGCAGCTTTAAGAGCTCTGTTTCTAGCCAGACGCAGGCACAGCGCAAGGCTCAGGTCGCCAACGACCGCAAGAAGGAGCAAGAACGCGAGGCACGCCGGAAGGAAGAACAAAAGCGTGACCTAGAACGCAAGCGTGCTGCCCAACAGCAACAACAGGAAGAGGCCCGTCGGCAGGAGATGAGGAGTCGTGCTGAAGCTGAACGGGAGCGCCAAGCTGAAAGAGAGCGTCAGGTCGAAAGGGAGCGTCAGGCCGAACGGGAGCGCCGTGAACGGTCGGCTCAGGAAGATCCGCACAAAGCCGCCCGTATGGAGGCAATCAAGAAACGACAAGCAGAGAATGCTCGGAAGCATGGGAGGCAGGGCAGCCAGCAGATAGTCAACGAGGTTAGCGCATTGTTTCAATCTGGGGTTTTTCATACCGCTAACAATCTCAAGGGGCCAATTCTACCGCAAGAGCCGTCTTATTCTCAGTCTTCTCAGCGAAGTGACCTGGGTGGTTCCCGCCCTGCTTCTCGTTTGGGTAGCTCAATTCAGCCATTCGGTGGCCGCAGCATCAACCCACCTGCGCCTAACCCTGCCAAGCCGCCAAAGAGAGGCAACGATGAAACCAGCCACCGGCCTGCGCCGTCTAAACCTAGTAACGTGCAATCAACTGGCGAGTTCAAACGGCGAAAGACAGAGGATGAGCACAACCCTATGCCGCCTGTGCGCACAATGGCGCAGCCTATCCGTCAATCAAATATCAGAAAGGTTAGTACCATCGGATCCATGTAATATCCTGACGAACACATTGTTGACTTTGGGAATCTATAAAGCCTTCTACCCTTGGCCGTGGACAGTCTTCCATGGCACCTCAATCGGCCTCTTCCAGTTACCGAAATGCCCAACCTCAGCGACCCGCTCACCCGATAGTCACGTATACGAACGGCAAGATACCGTTTGCTGAACCAAATCATGCGCCTCCTCCACCAAGCGCCCACAAGCCTGCGCCCAGCTCCGCCCAGCGGCCACCAGCCAAACCATCTCCCAAGTACCCTAGTGGTGAAAATATCCACTTGCCGGAGATCAACACCGATAGTGAAGATGATGATGATTCCGACTCCGAAATGTTCCCTGTTCCCAAGTGGGCACAGGCGAAGGAGCTGGAGGGTCTTCTCCGGCAGCAGGATGGGATGGAAGTTGACTCGATCTTCGGGCCAATTGCACCGTTCTCTCTTGAGGATACTTTCAAGGCGGATAAGAAAGTCAAGAAATACCGTGACCGCACCAGCAGTGCGAACTGGTCCGGACCCGATGGCCTTACTCAAGAGGAGATTCGGAAGGATGTTGCCGAACGTCAGCGGTTGCGGCTCAATGGCGGTTGGAGCTTCAACAGCTAGTGATCAGCATGATAGTGTGAAGTTTTCTTTCTTGGATTGTAAATCGGTCTGTACATTGAACAGCGGCGGCCTTCTTTTGGGGAGTATGGATTTGTGTGGTGGACATGGTTATGTCGGTGTTACGGGTGTATCATCTACCTGATGGCGTTATCTTGTATTATTCTTGTGGTCACTTCTGTTTATGGTCTTAGGCAATAGCTGCATGGTTGCATCCATCGGTGCATGGGATTAATGAATTGTTATTTTGGCATTGGATGTTCCCATTTTTGCATTGTGTTGGAGTTCATGATAGTTATATATGCACCTATACGTACCGGATTTTCCCTGGCGTGTGGGGCTTTCCTATTTGATCTGCCGCCGCTTTTGGCTCAGGCTCACTGAGTAGATGTCAGCACGGGCTCAGATCAGTCACGTGCAGAATGACTGATGCTCAGTGAGTGCTCAGTGAGTGCTCATTGGGTGCTCCCTGATTACTTAGTGATGCTCAGTGTCCAATCAGTGAGCAACACTGATGCACTCAGCCCACCGCAGACTATACCCAGAAGGGATTAGCCCCTATAGGGTCGTCTATACTGTGATAGTTAGTTCGTTGATAGCATTGTTGCTGCCCTCAATTTTTGGAGTACTACATCTTATCAAGGAGATACGTCATGACCAAAGGGCGTAGGACGGAGTGGAGAACCCATCCGTTTCATGATGTTGCTCATATCTTTCTTCTTCAGAGCGGCTCGAGCTCAAGATCTCAGATATAAAAGCAAACCGCATGGCGGCATTAGCATATAATAATCAACAAATCTTCTGTCTAAGCGTCTTTTGTATTGATTATGGGCCGAAAGGACTTTTTTGCCAAGCGCGATGAACTCGCGAAAGAGAGGCGCCGTCTACAGCGGGAAAAGAATGGTTATACCCCTAGAACCCATAAAGAGGAGGACTCAATTCGGGAGAAAGACAACCACTGCGAGATGCCGTACTCTTTCTTCACTTTGTGGATTATCTGAGCTTGACTTTCCTCTTATGATAGCTGGATGAGTATATAACGGCCTATTCCCGGACTCGATTATAACTACGTTATGCTTTGCTTTAGACAATCGGGTTGGCTATTGTGCTTCTTCTGATTGCGGTCTTTGGAGTTGTCCTATACTGCTAGCTTTTATTTCTAGAGGTAAAGTTGGCCGCGTACGAAGAAAGACCACTCTTTGCGACTTTGACGGCTGTAATTATGCATTCTGACCACCTATATGGTTTTGTTATATTACGCTGTTCGAAGTGCCGGAAGTTCAGTCGGTGAGAAATCAACTTATTTAGCAATTGTGGTAGACCGCGAAGTTTAGGCACATAGAATCAGGGGATTCATTCGAGGGCTAGCAAATACTTGCTATCATCGAATACTTGCTTGAATCATTGCAGCGATGCAAATCTTTAAAGTAACTTTGACCTATTCGACGGCAAAGACTAATATCGGGAAAACCTATCTTCCGGCAAAATGGCTAAGTCGCCGATAGACCGATCGTTCCAAACTTTGAGCACACCGATCAGCCTTCCCCGAACTTCATCCAACGCATCATCGATAGCATGTAAGCGGGCTACTTACTCATCTTGGCAGTGCTTCAAACGGTTCCCCTCGTTGTATAGCTGAATATTCCTAGTTCGCAGCGTCTTATTTTCCTCTTCGAGCTGCTGGATGTCTGTATGTTTGGAAACACAAGACTCCCACAGACATCGAATATACCCCACCAGATGTGCAGCACGAAATGCAAGTTCAGTATCTTCTTCTTTAATTTGCTTCAAGACCTCAAGTATGGGTCGGAAGGGCTCTACAGCCATGTTAAGGCCTGCTGATTGGCCCATATCGTACTATGTTGACAGGCCTGGCTGGTTGTAGCTTGTTTTTACTGCCTCTCTGTCCCTTCCCTTCTTCTCTCTGTCTCTCTTAATTAGTCCATTACATTGTATATTGTTCTCATTGCTCGTTCCTGTGCTGTTGATACAAACCCACAGGTACGTCTCCTATCATCCTTTGATCTCACTAGTTCTATTCCAGTGCAATGAAAAGTCCCGTGGTAGGTATTCGTATTCATATAGCATAAAGAGCTAAATACATCAACTGGTGCAGAGGGGCATTATGCTACATGTTGAATGGCAAGTATTCATCAAAACAACAGTAGGATAGTGCAAGCCCTTTAAAAATACCAACATTAGATTTTGTAGAAAGTAGCATGGTGGTGCATGTTGAACTACAACTATCAACTGAATCGCAAGTCATAGAAGGAGAATTGATCCCTTGAATGACATGAAATAGGTTTGATGAAGTAGACATCTGTCCGTTGTTAGAAAATTTATATGAAATTGATCGTATCTGCGTAACTCACTGCTTTCAATCACTGAAGACGGCACCTAGCTGATCAATATCATATCCTGCCCTTCCGTAGAACCCATATAGCTTTCTTCCTTGAGCAGGTTGAGTGCATTTGCCACCTCCGGTTCCTCCAGCCTCGAAGAAGTCCTTCTCGTCACGAGTCACTAATCTTAGTGAATCAGCACGCCCGGTTGACCCGTATATATCCATCCATTCAAGGGGATCATCTCCATAGTTTTCGAAGTCAAAGCTGGTATGCAGTGGGTCCTGCTGTTCTGGAGGGCAGGATCCGACGAGGTCAACGTCATTATCGGCCCATCTGACTTTGATACCCTTCAGGACAGTATATTTCTCGAACTCAACACCACTGCCTCTGCCGTACCATACGTCCAGTTGTGCCACGGGCGTATCATTACTCCAGAGGTTGAACTCCGACCCACCGTTACCTCCAACTGTAGGGCCCTTCTTAACCATGATGTGGAATAAGGATTTTCTGGATAGATATCCAATGAGGATTCACGCTTAATTAATTCTTGCAACTGTAGGAATGTTCTAAAAGAGATAGGATTCCTATCCATATTTATACCTCTGGCCTGCCTAAACCCAGGGAGCAGATTGGTACTCAGATGTCACTGTCCTCTCCAATAACCCGCATCTGTTGTTAAAGTTCGTCATCTTTTCTATATTGGGTCTCATAATCCATCACAAGGTTTGAACGAAGACGCATTTAGTAAATATATATCACAAATCACAACTATCAAAATATTACCTTGGTTACGTGAAAGTATCATTACAGTTTCTAGATCATCATATTAATGATAATCAGGTTTTAAAATATCTCTGATGATGATATTATAGTATAGACATATATGTTTTATGCTCTAGCCCCGAGTGTTATGATCTATCACATGGCTTGAACGAAGACGCATTGAGGAAAAATATATTACGAATCTAACTATCAACATACTACCATGGTTTCGTAAATCTATCGTTGCAGCTTCTAGATCATCATATTAATGATACCCCGCGGGTTACCCGTTGCAGGTTACCTAAAACCTGCAGATATTGTACTCCTTTTCTTGCTGTGGGAACATGGATTTGCCTATAGTACCAACTTCTGCTCTCCACTGCAAGAAAGTCATCTATGAAACTTTTAAGTTTGGTGGGTATCTCGTCAGAGTTTCACACCTTGGTTTGGCTTTGGATGTTGATATGCAAGAATTTGTACTGACGCAAATGGACAGAGTACTAAACTTTTTTGCCCTCTATGTTGATTTAAGATTTAGCATCCAAAGCGGATGACCGCCGCCAATTTCAGGTACGCCACATGACGTACGTCGATCATCCGAGCCCGCAACCATTTTTAAATTCGTCCGTGGTTAGGCTACCCACGGTTCCAAAACCACACTCCGCTGATATGTAACCAATCGGTATGAACTGATACGAGCTTAAAGTTAATCTACGCTGGCGGACAGCATATACCTAGAAAAAGTGCGATCAAACTGAAACTCACGGTTGCCCTTGTAACCTTAACCCCGATGAAAGAGCACTTATAGTTACACAAGATTGATCTAGACTGTAACGTTTCCATGTTTGACGTCAGTGTTTCAAGTCAACTCGTGAGACCTGTAGTCTACAAACAGAAGTCTTCCAAGGTTGGTCGCTAAGATATAGTCCATATCCACTACGAGGCGTTACCGCCAAAGGATTCCGCGGCCAAGTATAGCCCACCGGCGGGTTACAGGCCTCAACCCAGAACCCTTATGCGTCTTTGGGTACCCCGCGGGGTATTAGGGATGGAGTCGATCCGAATTAGGGATTTTGCTCTTAACTATGGGAGAAAAAATGGGGCTACCTCTGGGTCACGGTTTTTTTACTGACCCTAAGTCGCGAGGTCTAGACAACCCCAATCGGTCTGAACATTCAGAATATATAACTACCTAGCTGAGAAAACCCCCGTTCACTTTGGAGCCTGTATAAGCTTATATACATAGAGGTATCTGCGATTGAAATCTGTTTTTTTTTTTTTTTTTGGTGGAGGATCGGAACTGAGTCCGATTTTACCTACGATTGTGTAGTTAACCACCCCAACTATAATAACATTTTGCCATGTCATTGACGTAAATTACTGATTGAATTAGTGGGACATTAGGGGGAATTTAATTTATGGGTTGATCTAAATCAATCTCATCTTGGTTTTATCCCAAGCTTCGAGTATAAAAACTAAGTATTACAATCACGGCGATACTTAAATATGGAAGACCACTTATTTACCCGACCCAACGAAGTGCCAAATAATATTTTAAGATGTGTCAGAATGCAGTGCGACCAAAGGAGGTTACCCAGTACCTTCATGGCACTCACCACCTGGTTCCATTATCCACCGCGAGACAAATCAGTGAAGCTATATACTAATGGGACAGGGTACAGGCCTGCGACCAATGGATGGTGCCAACTACAATGATTGACTTAATTGCTGGGCTTCCAATTTACACCTCGCCGGTTTAGACCCCGCGCAGCTGGTTGAGTGTGTGCAGTGGCCCGGGAGACCCTGATTCGAGCATTTTGGTTTACTATTGTGCCTTCTACAGTCAAGGGTTTTTTTATCCACTGCCTCCAATCTAGAATGGTTTGTGGCTATTGGTCCCAGAGGATAATAAACGAACCGGTTTTGGTTCTTTTCGATCATCTGGGATGATTTTAGTCTTTCTAAATTTTAACATGCTAGGGCTGGAACACAGTTGCTTTTATATTTGAGATTTTGAGATTGAGCCACTCTCGATGAGAAAACAGACAGACCTCTTGACCGCAACATCATGAAACAGATGAACCCCTCCACTTTTTCGTTCGCCCCATGGTCATGACGCACTTTCTTGATGAGATGGGTTGGTCCAGAAAAGGAGGGCAGGTGCGATGCTATCAACTGAATAACCATCACAGTACAAACGACCACGTGGGGCTGTCTGCGTGATCAGGGTTGCTTCTTGTCTGGACCAGCATGCAGTAACGTATTCCACTACCGAGTCGGCCACCGTAAAACTCATAGTAAAAGCGATAAATTCCTCACTTATATCTAAACAACCAACGTTCTTATTTAATTGCATCACTTGCCGATGGCAATTGATAAGCATTTTTAGTGTTTTGGCACAATTTCGAACAAATTGAAGACTTGCATTGTTACGCTAACCAAACTTACATCGCTGAGCACTAGAAATATAGTTATGTATCTTAGTCACTAATTTAACTAGTAAATTTCTCGAAACTCCCTAAATTAGATAGATATCATATGAAAAGCATTAAGCTATAAGAAAAAATATATGTAGACAACTGTTGTTGCGATAATGTATCGTTTTTACTATGTGTTTACGGTGGCCGACTCATCGGCAGTGGAATACGTTTAACGTATTTCACCACCGGGTGGATCAGCGACGCGAAAACGCGTCTATGAATCAGCACTTAGTTAATTCAACCACCCACCCTGTCACCGATTCGCTCCCGATCCCCTCAAAATTTAATAGAACAAGAGGGTAGGATCTTATTAGCTATCCAGGCTTTTAAGAAGCAAAAAATTGCCTCTATACGCGAAGCATCGCGTCGTTTTGAAGTATAGTAGGTTTCGAAAACGACTCACGGTTTGTTTCTCGGCCCGTACCCGAGACCCCGCTAACACATATTAGGACTAGTCGTAAGCTAACTTGTACTGCCAGCCAAGAATGATTGACACTAAATCCAAATCCGAACTAGTGTGGTTTCGGGTACGGGCCGAGAAACAAATCGTGAGTGTTTCGAGAGGAAGCCGATTTCGAAATCTACTGTACCATTCTCTTCTTTACGTACGGAACCGCCTTAACGGGCTCACAAATCGCCCTGAAACTCGCGCAAATTGCCCGAAATTAACAGATATTGAAGAGGAATCCTTTCAAAAATGGATCCTCTCTATGGATTCTCGTGGAGCTGCCCCCCGGCCTGCTATGTTTTGAGAAATGGCGAATCTTCTCGAACAACGTGGATCTACCCCGGTTCTTTCGGTCGGCGAAAATTGGGTTACGAAGTTCGTTAAAAGGCAAAGTCTTTATTGAATCCTGGTTCGACGGCCTCCCGGAGGACTAGCGATTCGAGGTTAGACCTAATGGATGGACCTCCGATGAAATTGGACTTCGCTGGCTTGAAAAGCTCTTTATTACTTGGACTTCTTCGCGTACGAAGAGGAGGTATCGGCTTCTAGTACTCGACGGTCACGGAAGCCATTTAACCCCGAAGTTCGAGAAAAATCAGATTATACCAGTCTGTATACCTCTGCACTCTCCACTCACCTTTTACAACCTCTCGATTTCGGCTGATTTGCGATATTAAAACGTGCGTACGTCCGGCCGGTTAAATGGTCGGGATAAATCATATTGATAAACTTGATTTCCTCGAAGCATACCCCCTCGCACGAATCGAAGCTTTTAAATCGGAGACTATTAGAAAGAGCTTTGAAACAGCTGGTTTAATAACCTTTTCACCTGACCGAGTGCTTTCGAAGCTCAATATATGGCTTCGAACCCCGAGCCCCCTCCCGGGGAGCCGGGGTAGTGAATCAAGTCGAAACTTCACACCAAAAACGCCTACTACATAGAAAGAACTACGTCGACAGGCTTCATCAATCAAAGCTTTACTTCGTACAGCATCTCGCATTCCACCAAGCCCATCAGATCGTGCATTAAACCAGCTGGTCAAAGGCGGCCATCTTACAATGCAAAGCGCTCTTTTACTCGCGAAAGAAAACAAGGAATTACGCGCCGCCAACGAGAAGCAGAAGCAAAAGTGCACCCGATCTACTAGAACAATAGTCCACAAAGGGGATCTCTCAGTTCAGGAGGTTCGTGAGCTACGTTCAGAGCCATTTAAGGCCCAAGTAGCGCGTATCAACAACTATCGTGAGCAGGTTTCGGAAGGTTTACAACCACGTACACGGGGCCAGCGAGCATGTGGAATATGCAGGCTGCCAGGACATAGAAGAGAGACATGTCCAGGTAGAGAAATTAGTTAAATTGGTTTAATGGCGTTATGGTTGGGATAAATGCATTTAAATTTAATAGATTGGGTTGGGTGGCCAGCTCGCTTACTAGTTAAGACAAAATCCTAAACTCTAGTCTAGCAGACTAGGTCGATCTTCATGAGATAGTAGTTGGTATGAATTTTTGTGTTTTAAGCCACCATATAGGGTTTTATATTTGATTACCACTACATACATAATATTTCAGGATATAGGGAATTAAAGGAAGTCAGTTACAATCCAATAACCACCCTCTCTCCCCTACTAATAAGGTGCCACTTTCGTGCATTCCAAAATCTCTCTGTCTCTGGGGACCCCCTGTCTCTGTTGCTGTTTAAATCATTAACTAATACTAACTAGAGTAGGTGTGGTTCACTTACCTAGGGGGTACGTTTGCTCTAAAATCAAAGCAAGCATAGGTGTAGTCATCTGAGGTGCACTATTTAGGACAGTAACATCTCTCAGCTAGATTTTTTTTCGTAGAGAAAATTATACCCTGAGCTGTATATATTCCTGTTAGGAATATAAAGGTGAGGGATACGATTTGAGTGAATATCATAGTCAATCAACTAACTTAAGAAACAAGAGCATACTAGTTGTAGGACGACGTAGCTTAGGGGAGAGGGTTTTATTTTCGATTTCCCGTATTAAGTTGACTATGAATTCAATTCTAGATTGCTCGATTAAATAAGGTTTAGGTTTAAGGATGATCTAAGGGTACGAGCATGATAGTCTTCCTATGCTAACTAGTTCCGCTTAAGCCGAAAACTCTATTGTCCAATTTTGTTTGAACCTTATACTTAATGTGAGCACGTAACCATGACTACAAACGGCCATTCAAATCGTTCTCACCTAAGACAAGTGGCCCGCCTACTATCATTGAGGTATTGTTAAGGGATTAATGGTCCGTAAATCACATGTGACATATGATGTATGTGACATTGGGTATCGACAGCCCGCACAAAACCGGTGAAAGCACGGTTCGGAGTCGTGGGGCACTGTACTCCTAATGATCCCACGAAGGCGATGTTAACACGATACCTGGAGTAATTGCCGAGTGTTGGTCCTAAAGGTCTTTCAGAGGCTCGTGCAGTACGAAATTATTCGGTGCAGGAATATTGATGTACTGGAACAAGAATACATGATGCTCGGAAACCAGTATAGGCCGGGTGCTGCTATCAATCAACAAACGACATTGTGGGCGTCTTCAGATTCGGGCCATCTCGAAGTCGTCAGGTTTTTATACGAGTATGAAGCAGATTTCCACGATCACAAGGCGACAAACAAACAGCCACAGGAAATGTGGTTGCTGCGGAGGATTGTTGTTCAGAGGCTTACAGGGTCAGTATAGCTCTTTTAGGAAGGGTTTTGATGTTGGGTTCAAGTTCTAATAGTGGATCAGATGGGACCTGTATAATCCTAAAACTTCGAAGTGATCACTTTCTTTTTACGTGGTCTGTCCGTGCCTTGTCAATACTAATATGACCGGTTCTTAGGTAAAGATTACATGCTACAGGAGAACTACTCAAAAGTATTTCCCAAGCTCACACAAATAGGTACTGTATCAATAGTGTTGTAAACTTTGATTAATACTCGGCGTGGTTTCAAGCAACGTCGAAATAGATTGTCCCTATGCCCATGGTAGGACTGAATCTGAACTATGTGAGCCAGAAAAAAAGCAAGTGTCCAATTTAGGCGCAGATAACTAACAGAAATCATGGCAAAAACTTTTAATATAGGTACAATTCGAACACACCATTTTTTTCCCCAGTCATATCTTTGGATGGCATCAATCTCAGCACACCGTCAATATAGTAAACGCGTTTTGGAGCTTCATCTCATTACTCGGACAGATAGAATTGCCTATCTGGGTAAGAGAAAGTTGGAGCGCTGTACACGGAGCTATCCGTGTGTATAATGGTAGCGACAGTCTGGCCTGCCAGGGCCTTTGTGAAATCAATCGTTCCCACTTTGCCAAAAGTAGTTTTGTCCACAGTTGTGCCAGGTTCGTAGTCCCCTGTGGAGACATAGTAGGTTATGACAGGGGTGCATATGTATTTCTGGCTAGGCCTTGCCGCCCATACAGCAACTGGAACAACCTTTCCTGCCTTATTCTTTTTTCCGTATCCGCAGTAAATATCGGCTAGGCATAGCTCTATTTCAGCACTGCGTGTTGGGGACAATCGGGGGAGGCTTACGGTATTTAACAGGTAGATATGTAGCGGTATCGATGCCAAAAGAATTGGCCATTTTCGTATCTTTAGGGGGCGGAACAAACTGCGCGCCCTCGTCAACAATCTGCATTTGCGGAACTGTACCAGGTTGGTCCTGTCCAGCCAGCGCCACCTCGGCATAGTCGTTTGTCGAGACGCTAACTCCTGGTTCAAGTTTTCCTGGCGTCGTACCACAAACTGCGAAATTCTCAACAGGGACAGTAAATTTGGCTGAGCCGCGCGGTGATCCAACTCCAGGTGCTGTTAGCCAGACATTGGAATAGACTTCACCAAGATTACCCCTTGGTTTAGGTACATCGCTGAAGAAGAGGTAACGTTGGCTATATCCAGATTGATTTTCAATCACAATATTATAAGTGACAGTAGTCATGTTGTTGGTGGAGATTGGAATAATATAACCTTAGGTAAATTGTTCTGTAAGTTATGTGCAGAAGTGCATATGTAAAGCGTTACAAAAATTTCATGCCATGACTCTACAGTTCTGGTCATACTTATAGTCGGCGAGCACGGCCATTAATGCCTTGTATGCGGCTACATGAGATCCGCGGCCTATGGCCTGCTATCTCATAATTACGTAGGACATGCCGGTCAGTTGATCTTTAGAGCTGTTTGCAGCCAACCTTCATATGATGATACACTAATAGAGTTAAAACCATAGGTTTTGCTAAACACGTCAATGTGGATGTTTGCGGTATGCTAGCACGGAGCTATTTGGAATTGGAAAAGCTTAGTGATTTTCAGGCCCAGAGCCTAGAATCACCGCGTGACCGGAGACACTCGTATCATGGTCTGCCGTGTCATGAGCATTAGGACATGCAGGTCAATTGATTTGAATCAGAAGCCGTTCGTAGCAATCTTCAAATCATGATATACTAAGGGTCGAAATTATTAAGTTTACCAATTTTTACACCAAGGACTCAGAATAGACACTAAGAGTTAAAGAAACGAGACTAGCTAAATACCGAATGGTGTATGTTAACAGTAAAATTAAAAATTTAGCGGGAAGTCATTTAGAAAAGCTTACTATGTTTTAAGCCTAGAACTCAGGATGGGTTTAACCCAAGGGTCTTTGGACATAAGCATGTAAGACAAGTAAATCAGTTGATTTTGACTCTTAAGGAACCGTTCGCTGTGAAACGTCATATACTAATAAGGTTAGAACTTTAGGACGAGCTAAACAACTAACAAGATATTGAAAGTTTGAAGAAATTTAAACACTAGTAAGAAGGTAATTGTAAACAACCCACCTTTGTTTTAGATGTCCTTGGGGGGCCCCGAGCTTAGGATAATTTTGAGTCATAAATAAGCACAGAACGTCATGGCTCACAATTTCCGGTCCATGTCAATCTACATCTACAGACGGAGGGATGAATAGATGGATGGACGGATGGTTTTCTACAGGCATAGAGGGGCTCGAAATCAGTTTCACCATTTTGTTTTTCTTTTGGTTGTTTCTCAAACTTTATTTTTATTGACGCCAGGCCTAATGTAGCTAGTGGGTGCTCATCACCCTTTTCCTATTCGGCAGTCACAGACGATCTAGGCCAGATGTAGACTGAAGTGGGTCCCGCCAACATTTAAGATCGTCAACACCCGTGGGCTTTGCAGAGTGTATTAGGTCTAGAATCGGTTGCTGATATTACCAGCTCATATCCACATCAAGCAAGCTGGAGAAAACAACGAATACTACATTCCGTGGGACTGTTAGTACACATCGTCTCTCTCGTCGCATGACTTTTAATCAAAAATTTTAGTGGATGACGAGAGAGAGGCCGACAAGCGCTCTGACGTTCGATTTCCTGAATTGATCCAGTAAATGCCCGCGTTGTATAACGCGCCAGGAGACAAGGGATGACGATGTTATGACTGGGATGCTATGCGGCTACTGGTCTAGACCAGGCCAGAATTGTATCGTTATGTCGCACCGACACATCAGCAGGCTAGATCCTCTCTGTAAGCCTGGAAACCTCTCCTTACGACCCCGGATCTGCCGTCTGATGGCGTTTATCAAGCAGTATACAATTGTGTAGCTGTCTAGACTCACATTATAGAATCCCATTACCACTTAATTTATATGTGATTGGGTACCGGTGCATCATACTGAGGTTAATATAATCAACGGTATCGTTTGCGGATTCCAATCAAATAGGGAACTGGTACGCCTAAGTAGAATCAGAAAAGTGAATAGGTGAACACCTTACCAGCTGAAATGGGATTGATAGACAGGCCTAGAACACGGAAGTTGCCTTCTGCATGTGAGGTTTCCAAGGTCAGGAGTCATCTGAAAACTTATTTAAGTTTCGCTCATCCCCTACCAAGGACAACCACGCAGTCTGTCTGTTTAGATACAGGTCCTCACTCAACCTAGCCTTACAGCACAAAAGATATAATATCAAAGGAGCCTTTTCATTTCCCTTGAAGACCAGCTGGATTCTACGACACACTACTATTTACCAATGGACGAGTTTCGGGTTGTGAAAATCATAGCTGTTCCAGATTACTCAACCAGGAGTACAAACAATAAATTAATTCCTGGACATGCACACGCTACGTTGTGGGAGGCAGGAACCAATATACCAGCGCTTGAAGGACCAGATGGATCCGACCACTGCTGTACTTTCAAGCTAGACTACCTTAACATGATAAGTCTTGAACTTTCTGGGTCATGGACAGGTATTTCAACTACAGATGAGTACACCATCGAAGGCCTCCTCAATAACAAGGTTCTGCTGGAGAGTACATTCAAGTCCCCTCATCTGGCAAGATTCGATACCCCCTATCTCGATCTCAAGACAGCCCCCTCGTTTCTTTGCCGTTACGCTGGAGATTGGAAGTGGCGCATAAGACGTAATAAAGGCAAGCTACCACGATCTCAGCATAAGCTCTCTCGGTTTCCGTTACTTACAATTTTCAGAGGACCGGTGGGAAGAGTCCCCAGATATAACTCGCCTGGAGCTTAACTTCGTATTTTCAGGTCCGCCAGCTGGACCACTAATTGCACCAACACCAGATGTCCGGAGCAGGCCAGACTTTAATCACGAATATCCTGTGGATCTCTTCCGTCTATTCATCCCGAAGTTTGATGTTCCGGTTCCTCCCACCAATACTCGACAGCAGTGGTATTTCAAGCGAACCATGGAGACCATTTGGAAATTGGGCTTAGGTACCAATCCATATTTAAACGCCCCTCGTCCCTTCCAATATGAGGCAATTAGTGGAGGTTCTAGCTATATTGACACTCATATCGGCGGGCAATTTCAGCTCAGACGCTTTGTTGCTGGAATGTTCAGCACTTTGAACTGTTATGACTTGGCAGCACTATCACAACTTGCGGTTTGCATCATACGAGACGACAGCGGTGACAGCGGTGTCGAGATGTATGACAGTAAATACATCCTTTGCGGTGACTATGGATTCATACCCGACGGGACACTGTTCGGCTGGCCACAGTTCCCAACCTGCAATTCACCCTTCTTCTGTAGAGGTCGTCTGCCTCATTACCCTGCAGATGATACGAACCGGCAGAAATTTGATCGACACGCTTGGGTGGAGGTCACTAGCTCATCGGGAACTAGAACTGTACTCGATGCAACTCACTGCCTCCTAATCCCGACGCCACCAGAACCGGCTAGCGGTACAGATGATCGAATGACTTACATTGGGAAATATACGGACCCTACAAGGGGTCCATATCAGCGGATATACAGTAAGCGCCTTGCTCAATTTACTTTTCCCTATCGTCACTAACAAGTATAGCTGAAAACCCGGGTAGTAGTCTACAACAGATTGGCGTTTGCGGAGTCGGCACAGTTCCATTCTTAGGGCCATCTCCTGTTGTCGAGCCGCATGTTGAAGCAGCGAAGCCTGCACCTGTCAACAATGCGCCATGCAATGACGCTACGATATTGAACGTCATCAAATCTGTCCTTCCCTTGGCAGCCCTCGACGCTAGTGATTGGCAGGTGGGATCTCGCGGGTGTCAGGCTTTGACTGCGTACAAGGGAATACCAGACAGCAGCGACCGCCTTTTTGTCGAACTCAATAATTCCGAAACACTCCATGACGCACTTCGCCAGTACCAAAAGTACAGAGACATGCTCAGAGACCTCACAGATCCAGATGCTGGTCTTCCGCCCGATGGCGTAGGTGACCTGGCTCTGCGGCTTCCATTCCACTTCCTCTGGAGACGTAACAATATGTTCATCCGCGTGTTCGCAAATGCGCCAAGTACTGGACAATCCCAAGATATTGATATTCCCGACTTGATCCTAAGGGCATCTAAAGCGATAGATTCATATCTGAGTGCCCACGCTGTCGATCCCGGCCGTGAAGCGCGCCCTTCACCGGTTCTTAAGTACCCGGAGCATAGAAACATTGTTGTGGAGGGTATGCAAATGGTCGAGGTACCTCTGAACAATGTTGAGGACATCTCGGACATCTGTATTGCAGAAATCGGGGACCATACAGTTGTCAAACAAGCATCAATTGGAGCCACAGAAGACGGCAGGAAAGGTGTTATTCGGCTTTCTACCCTGGATCCAGGTGAAACGGATGTCGCGATCTGCGTGGCTCACCATCTCAACTTGTCCACTTCAACCCTAAAAGTTAGTATTAAAGTTGTGGAGTCTGCCGACTAGCTTTAGTCCTTTCTCCAGTGAAGGAAATTTGAGGGTCAGGAAAAGCATCATCATCCATTCTTTTGTTATATTCGATCGATTGTATAGGTACAGACGCGCTCGAATTCAGTTTCATCAATTTGCTCTCTGTAATGCTCTCCTCAGCTTTATCCTGAAACAGGCTAATCCAGAGTTGATTTAGCCAATTTTGAGATATCGAATCGTATTTTTTTTTTTTTTTTTTTTGACTATATGATGGCTATTTTTATGTCCTTATTTAATAACGTACCAAGATACTACCAAGAGTGTGAGCCAGGGGTAGGCTAACCGTAAAAGATATGGCGTTATGCAATGCAGAGTTCAACAAAAGAATTAAATAGAGTACAGTAAAGACGTGAAACTGATTTCGAGGGCGTCTATAACAATTGTAACTATTCTTAATTCCGGTTAATTACAGACCCACCAGTCGTGTGTTTATTGTTACAAAACAATTCAAGATCTAGCAGCAGGCTAAATCAAGGATGAACTAACGTGTTTCAGGATAGAGTTCAAGAAAATATTGAAGAGAAGAAATAAGTGAAACTGATTTCGAGCGGGTCTGTACAGGATCCTGGAAGAACGAAGCTGAAACGGCAGAGGATGATTCAGATCCTTTTGGCCCAAGCAATAGACGGCTCAAACTTTGGCTCGTTCATTGGATGGGCCGGTCGATAAGGAGACGAAGAAGTGCAACAATAAATGAAAGACACTGTTAGAGAGTGCTTCTTTAGTCGTGACGTTTGCCTTTGTTGATCATGAAAACCTTCCTGCTCTAGGGGAACGATCGTCTTTATATGTCTTTCAAGTCGATTTCATCGACGCCAATGCCAAGCCGTCTTTCATCCAAGGAGCTCAATTTGGATGAAGTTGTAGCACCCTAATTGTAGAATGACAACCACATGTATCTGTCCGTACCGGATTCTCCCTGGCGGGGGTGGGAAGTTCTTATTTGAGCTGCCGCCGCTTTATGAAGGTGCTCGGCCTCAGTGGGGACCCGCAGTGTTTTGTGGTTTCGCGCGGAAGTCCTTCTCTGCCTCCTCGACCCGTTTCTCCCACGTGGAAATATCGATCCCTGGCACAGTCTCGCGTAGGAACTCTGTTAGGCCGCCTACTACCTCGACGAGATCAGGGACGGGTCTTTTTTGTTGTTGCTCGGGTTTATAGGATCCGAGAGGATTTCGATCAGCGCGAGGGTGTCTGCCACGACATTTTCCACGCGTGCCTTAGATGACGCTGAGTCGTCCCTATCGTTGCCCTGGCGGTAGGCCACGGCCAGGGAGCGGCTAGCGCCACGGGGGCCGACATAGGCGACGACGGAGAAGAGGAAGGAGCGGGGACTGTTGGAGTCTAGACACTTGTATCCGAGCATTATATTGTTTACAAGATGGGGCTATTGACATAAGTAAATCGTCCAGATAACAAACAGCTGGGAAACAACGAGAGGAAAAGTATCAGCCTAACATTTAGTTTAGAGCAGCCTAGTTTGGGCGTCTGGCAAAAGACGGCTAGCCTAGGCCTGGCAGGACAAAGTAATGGGGCCAAGCGAGGGAGTGACTAGATATATATCTCTTTTGTAATGGCATCACTTTAGGCAGAAATGCTAGGAGGGGAAAAGGGAAAGGTCTCGGGTGCCAGGCATTAACTAACATACCTGTGGTTGTCAGAATTAAGGCTGAGCGTTGGTTTTGCTTCACATAGCACTAAAGGCCAGTCCCTTATATCAACTAGCATCATTGGTCTAGTGGTAGAATTCGTCGTTGCCATCGACGAGGCCCGTGTTCGATTCACGGATGATGCACTTCTTTTTTGGATTTGGATTTTTTTGTTTATGTCAATTTTGAGCTCTATGCCCTTTTAAATGTTTGTTCTTTACATATTTTTGGCTTTTTAATTCATGATTTGTTCTATATTGTCAGTTTATGTATGGTTGTGTTCTTTCGTCATATATCCTAGATATATATATAGCCTTAAGACTATATATGTAGTCTACAACATAACTATACAACCCGTACCAGATTACTAGTAGCATATCCTAAAATCCACCTTAGCGGGAACCCCCGAATAAACAATTTCAATCCAAATTTACTACCGGAGAACCCATGGGGACTGGGTAAGTGTAGTTGAAGTCACGTGGTAAATATATACCAGGATACCTCCTCGACTAAACCTTTCTCCTTCAAATGCCTTTCCCACATATCCTCAATCTGAGAAAGAAAACCCACCTTGCCCACTGATCATACGTTAGAAGTCAAAATGCCAGCCGCAGCAGCTCCTCCTCTTTTTACGACTCCTGGCCTTGAATTAATGTCGTACTGTGAAGACAGCGACTTTCGAGCTGAAGGGAAGCCCGAGCCTAACAGTCGCTCACAGTCTCTGGTCTACTATTCTCAAGAGAAAAAATGGTGGATCAGAGTAACTTTTAAGGGCGCGATTTCCTGTGATGCCGAACCAGAACAAATCAAATCAAAACGCGAACGACGAAATGAATTCCAAGACTTTGTGAGGTTGATTGATTTTCGATCGTTGGCTCTTCTAGATAACACTGTGACTGAAGTGATCTTGAACGAAGACCCGGAAACAACTGAGCCTGTGAAGCTACATAACCAACTAGAAGATACCAATCGGTTTGCAAAACTCACAAATCTACGATTCCATATTTGGGAGGACCCATTAAGAGTGGTTTACCCGCCATGCCTCCAATTTCCGTCTTTTCGAGCTATCAATGTCGCCGAATTGAAGGAAGAGGATGAAATCACCGACGGAGTATTCCGTGTTTTTCACAACGGAAAACCATATGTTCTCAAGGTAGTCAATCGGCCCCTTTACCAACCACGCGATTCAGACGTTATACAAAGAGAACTTGAGAACCTCGAACAATTCAAAGGCGTGGTAGGGATCGTTCAGCTAGCTGGTATTGCGGTATTCCCTAATCCATACGCGACCTGCCAAAATGTCGAACAAATGGTTGTTAACGGGATTTTATTGGAGTACTATAGCGGTGGCTCCTTACAACGTGTTCTAAATGAAAAGCGTGTTAGGGAATTCGACTGGGAGCGATGGGCGATCCAAATTGGGAATGCTTTGGACATTTTCCACCGCGCAAAGAAAACCCATATGGATATAAAGCCTTCGAATATTGTTCTCGACGACGATGGCAATGCGGTCCTTATTGATATAAGCGGTATCGGTGGAATAACGCACGAATGGCGTGCTCCAGAGATCCGGGATGAAATATCACCCTTTGATCTTCCATTCCAAACACGTCAATTGAATGATATTTGGGCCTATGGAAAGCTTTTGACAGAGATTGCGTCAAACGCTGGGAACAGCCCTTTTTCGGGAACTCTCAGGTTGGTTGCAGATCATCTTACTGAAGAGTATGTTCACAACAGGTGGACATTATCTCAGGGAATCTCTCGGTTGAAAGATTGTCAGTGTGTGGTTTATTAAAGGGATGGGGGGTTCTTCTCCCACGAAAAGTTGAGCTAAAAGCATCCTACTAGGCTGTCCAAAGCTTAGAGCATTGTCCATATTGTTCTATCTCTGATCAATTTGCTCTATCAACCTGATTTGGACCAGTGATTTGGACCAGTGGCACTCTAAACGCCGCAAAGAGATACGCTAATTACATTATGGTAGAAAGATTTCAGCTAAACCCATATAATCACAGTAACATTCTTAAATTCAGGATACACATATCGAAATCACAACCTTCCCAAGGCTTAGTATGGCAACTTAGAGCTATGAAGCAAATGAGTAACTAAGGTATTGTTCTGAGCATGATCACCTGACAGCCCAGCCTAGTCCCGTACCACCCTATTCCAACCCAAAAGCCAAAGAATATGTGGCACATGTGCACTGTTTATGATTTTGTACTTGGCCATTGACTTGGCCCATTTGCGGAACATACACCATTACATGGAAAGAAAAACAGAAAAAAAAGGCATAAAACCCCCAGTCCGAACCCACCCCCTGGCAGCGCCGAGGAAAAATATAATACAAGATTCTCTAGCCCTTACGCAGTAAATATCGACACTGAGCCAACACTTACTGCATATCCGGCTCGATGTCACTAGCTCCTCCCTCAGCAGCCTCATCCATGGCATCGGGGTTGAGATTGGCAGCGTCGGGTGCGACACCGATTTGAGTCTCATAGGAGACGGTGCGCCAGCCGGATTCAGTGGTGGGATCCTTGACATATTCGGACATGGGGAACTGTTGGATGTTAGGACGCGGTTCAAGTTTGTATTTGATGTATAAGTGCAGGGAAAAGGAAAGGACTCACGTAATGATCATTCTTCTTCATGGTAACAACCCAGGGAACGTTGTCGAAGGTGACAGCGCGAATACGGAAGTACTCGTTGTCGGGAATTTTGCGGACTTCCTGAATAAAGCTGTCCAGATCTGGAGTCGAGACGCTGTTCACAGCAGTGAGGAAGTTGGTAGGTGCAAGACCGTAGTGGTAAGCGGGGGAACCACGGCTCTGAAGAATAGTGTTAGCGGGATTCAAATGGATGTAACAAAGGTATCGATACTCACCCTCGCGCTCACGTAGATCTCGCTGTGAACCATGGAGATTTGCTGGCGAACAGCATGATGGGGTTTCTGTAGAACAGCACCGCAGAAAGCAAGGGCACGATCTGTCTCAATGTCCTGAGTTGGCACTGTGGGGACGCGGATGCGCACTTCCTCGCCATTTCGAATGACCAATGCATCCAGGAATTCCTTCTCATACATGACATCCAGCTCTGAAACGCGGGTGATGATTTGGTCATCTAGCGTGAGAATAATGTCGGCTTCTTCGAAGCTGGTGCTAGGGTCGGGGATGACGCCTGCGGGAGGGCTGTCAACCTTGCGCACCATGAACAGCTGGTGCCGGGACGGGTTGGCCTCGGTGACCTTGTTAATCCACTTCTGCGAGACGCCCATTATGCGGGCCTGGCTCATCTGCACAACATAGCTCTCCATGTTCAGAATTCGCAATGTCGGGACCTCTCCTTGTTGGATCTTGGAGGTAACGGGAAGCAGGTATGGAGTGGCAAGGCCGAGGTGATATTCGACATCCTTGTGAGAGCTTGCAGAGCGCTCACCGAGATAGTTCAACCACAAGGCCTGCACCACACCATCTTCGCCGACAAGCACACCGTTTGAACATTGTGCACTGAGCCCGGTATCCACGGTGACAGCATCTAGGTTGATTGCACGGTAACGAGGGGCAGCTGCGTTGGCGGGGATCGACACAGTTGTGATGTCAGTGACAGTGGTTTTGGCCACGACAATGCGATAGTTTTGGTTGAAGCCAACAAAGATGGTATCTTGGCCTTGTTTGATATAGTTGGTGCTGAGCTGGGCGCTCTTGACCGGAGCCTTGACGAGGCTGGGGTCGTATTGGATGATGCTGTAGTTCTGGAGCGGATGCAGGAAGACAACCTTAGCACTGACAATGATTGAGTCGGCCACAGTGATGTTGATGTCGCAAAGGTCGTAGGGGACAATGGCCCGTGATACTGCCACTAGACCCTTCTCAGCATCGATGACCAGTCCGAATCCAGTCTTCTTTGCTTGCGGGTATCCATCCAGCTTCAAGGGCATGATGCATGATACGCGCACGAAGCTACGGACAATCTCGGCAGCAGCAGGCTGACTGATGCCGTCTAACTGGATGAAACTCGCCTCTCTTGGGACAGGAGGCTTAGCAGGAATGGGATCGGCGATATCGGAGAAATCCCAGACACCAGAGTCGTCGTTACGGACCGCCATCCGCATCTTCGGATGCCAGTGACGGTCAACGTAGATGATACTAGTTCCTTTCGTGTGGAGATCGCGAATATGGCGGTAGGAGATCGCCACACGAGCGCGATCGGGAATGCTTTTCATGACCTCTACGAACTCATTGAGGTTACGGGTGGGCCGCTTGTCAATCGAATCAATGATCCACCCTGCCACGGTGTTCTCCAGCTTGAAAGAGCCTGCCGACTCACAGACATAGACTCCACGAGTGGCAATGGCATAGAGACGTGACTGCTGGTACGACAAATCATGGAAGCTGGCTCCAGCAACTGTGACGAAACGATCCGGGGTGATATCATGAAGATTTCCCACTTGGCACTCGACCTCAACGTCTTGGCCGCCTCTCTGAACCAGCAATTTGACAGATTCGCCGACACTCGAGTCTAGGATATCATCGAGACGAACAAACTGCGTAAGGAGCTCTCCATTCACCTTGACAAGCACATCTCCCTCTAGCAATTTACCATCTGCGGGTCCCTCCGGAAGGATGATCTCCGCCGCAAGCATGTTCGTTTCAGTAGGTGCTGCGGCACGGATAGCAGCCTCCCACTCGGGGGTCAGGCCAAGACGGCGACATTCATCGAACGGCCTCAAGACCCACTGTGTTTGAATGGTACCACGAGTGACAGGCTGAGATTGGCGGATACACTCTAGTGCACGAAGCGGGCGGTCTAGCGGCAAAAAGTAGTCCGTCGCAGCTCCGTCAGCTCGACCACCAGCCTGCAAAGCAACTGCATGGCCAGCAAGGTTGACCACGGGACTTCCCGAACTACCGCCACTGGCTGCAGCTGCGGCCTGGATGTAGTTTGTGTTGAAATCACAGTAGCCCTCTCCATATTCAGGCGCATTTCGGTCCAGTCGACTGATCACGCCGGACAGAATGCTCAGCTTTTCTCCAGCATCATTACCCACGACACGGATCTCTGTGCCAACTCGCGCTCCATCCGGCTGGAGCTTAAGCTCAGCGAGATCCATATATCGAATTTTCGCCGGGTCGAACTTTAAGATACCGAAATCATGAACGGGGTCCCGGTAAACAGGCTGGACATCGCACTGTGATTTTGACAATGTTGTTAGTGACCGGGCAAGCGCTTTAACAAAACCATGGCGCAGGAGCGACTTACTTCCTCGTGGTTGTCAAAGATACAGTATCCCCAGAAAGGACCAGCACCGACAACGTGGCGATTGGTCAATATGTAGCCACGCTCTGCATCCACCACGAAACCAGTTGCTTGACTGGACATGGAGAGCTCCGTATCGAAAGAGCAGGTCTGACAGAAGTGAATTGAGACAGCGCATTTCACGACATTCTCGATGGTAGCCTGCCATTCAGGTGAGTCTGTTGTAGCAGGGATGGCGACTGGCGAGGGAGCTCCATCTAAGTCCTCCTCGACCTCATAGACAGTTCCATTGGCGGGCGTCGCGTCGTCGGGAGTCAAAACTGCGGGCTTAGGTCTGAGTTGCTTGTTGGGATGATCGGAGGTATCGGCCGCCGTGCTGCGCTTTCGCTTTGCACCCATGTCGCCTCTGTTATCCATAGTGAAGGTATTTGAGGGTTGGAGGTGGTATAGACGGGGTTTTAGGTAGTTGGCAAGAGACGAGATCGTCCGGGAGCCACTTGGGGCTAACGGGGCAGCAGAGAATGGGATATAAGACGATTGAAACACGTGAAGATGCGGAGTTAAGGAATGTGACGCAGATGACCGATCAACGGCTAAAGACCTCAAAGGATTGGAGGTTTGTTTTGAAGCTTGATAAGACGACAAAGGGGAGGTGGCGGCGATTCGCAAACTCCTTCTGAATACGGCTAACAAAGAACAATACATCCACCAGACAATTGGGGAAAATGTGTACGCGCCTTGACATCAAGGCAAAACGTGCCCACCAACAATTCCCAAAGGCGGAGAAGCAAGAATGTCATATCATTGGCCCGGGGCTTTTATTTTCACATCTCAGGATTATTGCCGGCAGAAACCTGTTTACTACATATTTACATATGTTTATATTTACCCCTTATACATGCCTATATGTATTATCTTCCTATATATCCTGGCAGGTTAGAGCCATTGAGACTCAATATTTGAACAAATTGATTCTCATACCTAGAACTGAAACACAATTTTCCTTGAAAACAGGAGTTTGGGTATCAGACCTCAAGAAGGCGGAGAGCATAGGCGGTAGATTTCGATATATGATGATCCCATGGCAACCTCATGCGCCCAACGATGAAAGTAAGACTCTGAATACATCTCTGCCTGATTTACATGTGGATTGGATGCATAAGATGTTACGTTACATTCAGCTAATATACAGATTCAGAGGTTGCTTTCTAGCTATATTTACTCAAACATAAAGAGTTCTTTCTTGAATGCTCCCATGCTCCCAAAGGGTTGGGAATAATGGAATATTTCCCTGTCAGATATCACAAAGATCATGACTGCTTCAATGTACTCAACTGTTCAAACATTCGGGGTTTTGTTTTAAACCAGTAGCAATGGTGCATATGGTCGAAGGTCCATTTTTTTTTTTTTTGTGCCGGTATGCATAGTGGTTTGAAAGGAACGAGCCGGCGCCTCCCACAAAGCTTGCAGGGGTGGCAGACAAATCCGGAGCTCAAAATAATCTGTGGTATGCCTTCTCACACGAAGGACTGCATGTTT